TTACTTTTTATTGTGAATTGAGTGAAAGTCTACACACAAGATCATCAGTTTTACATTCAACAAGTAATACTGTTTGTTTCATCTCAATGATTGCAATCCCCTCTGAGAAAGAAGTCATTGGGCTTCCTCCCTGTGGCTCCTACTTCTCTTCCACCCACTTTCCCATCCCTTCTCACCATTGTCCTTAGGTTCATGTTGCCCCTTCAATTTGGAATGAATGACCATTCCATCATTCACAATGAGCATATCTTAGTAGTGTTGTCCCCCCTATAGACTTCTACTGTGCTTGGCTGAAAGAGGACCAGTCTCAGATTTCTCCAATCTTTCTCTGAATAGTAAATCTCGTCTTTTTTTTTAAAATAATTTTTAGTTTTGTTCCACACATTATTCAACTCTATCCAGGACTTTTCCAATGTGATCCCTTTCAGAGCAGCTGATCGTGGTAGCTGGGCAGGCACCATCTAGTTCTTCTGGTCTCAGAGTTGTGGACACCGATATTCACATGTTCCATTAGTCCATTGGATTAATTGATTCCAAGTGTCTTCAATTTTCATTACTCTTCTTTTTTCAGCAACTTAGACTGCTACTCCTGAGCTTTTAATATCCCAGACACTACTCAGCAAAGTACCACGTAGAACATTGTCCTTGTGAACTATGCTGTGCCGAAATTCTTTTGCAGTGCAATAGGATAATATGATGCGCTGGACTGCAAGGTCGTTTGAACTGCAAATTCGGCAGCTTAAGCTCACCAGCCACTCCTCAGAAACCCTATATAGGATTGCTGAGTCGAAACCACCTCCACATCACTTAACAACAACAAAGCATCAACCATATTAGCACTTATCTTTTGATCAGGTGACCTGTTAAGAATTTGTAATACGTGCAGATAATTCATTACAGTATCATTTATTTATTATGCTGCAAGTTTAGAAACAATCTAGATGCTCAGTAAAAGGAGAACCAAGACAGTTCTGAGCGATCTTATTCACTGAGTAGCAGAAACAGAACCAGCACCGAAAGATCCCCAACCCGGCAGCATACCAGCAGGAGGCAGCAAGCGTTTGCCTTAGAATCGAGAACTACAGAAAACTAAGGCTAATCTAGCCCAGAATAGGGCGGAGCCGCCCAGTAGCTACTGCACTGTTAGCCTGGTGATATGAAGCAGGAATGTTTCCACTGTTTTAAAATATTTGTTGTTGCTAAGTGCCGTCGAGTCGGTTCCGACTCATAGCAACCCTGTACCGGGTTTCCAAAGATCGGCTGGTGAGTTTTAACCGAAGACTTTGTTGATCAAACTGATCCTGGGGTCCAGCGTTTATCCTACAGCGCCACACCAGGACTCCTTCAACGGTGTGGTTTTCCTCTAAAACAGAAAAAATAAAGTTAGGCGGCCCTCCTCGCCTTTCCGCAGCGAGCGGAGGCCCGGGCTGCGACTGCGCAGTGCGACCGCGGTGCCGGCGCTGGGGCCACGCCGCGGGGTCGGAGAGCGCGGGGCGACGCCTGGCCCGGCTGCGGGAGCTGGGCGGAGGCCGCGTACGGCCACCCTCGCTCCGACTCCGGAGACGCACCGCAGACGGGTGGCCGGGTCGGGGTGAACAGGCGGGGCCGGACGGCGCGGGGGCGCGGCGCAGTTGTCCCCGCCCCGCACGCTACTCGGCCGGGTGGCTGCGAGAAGCGGGCGGGCGAGGGGCGCAGCGGAGCGCGCCGGCGGCCCTGGCCCTCCGAGATCTCTGCTGCGGATCCGGGGTCTACTGGTGGGCGAGCTCCCGTCTTTGCCTGCGTCGCTGCCTCCGCGCAGACAGCCCCGCCCCAGGGATGTGAGGGCGGCAGCGCGGCCGGTGGGGCCCGGAGGGCGCGGACCCCGGCCGCACACGGTAACGCTCCGGGCGGGCGCAGGGCGGACGCGGCCGAGCTGGGGTGGCGGGAGCGGCGCCCCGAGGTCGGTGGGGGGATCGGAGGTTTCGGGCCCGGCAGCTGTCGTTGCGGTCGGCGGGGCTAGCAGAGTGGGGGAGGGCCGTGGTCCAAGGGAGCCGGAGGGGGCTGGGCCGGCCGGCCGGTGGCCGAAGATTTGATGACAGGTGCCCACTCCTGCAATCCAACTCTCTCTCTTCAGCTCCACCCATTTTTAACCCAGCCTCCATGGGCTAAAAATATTGCCCAGAGACTCCTGAGCAGTAAGTAGGGCACTACGTAGAGACGACAGAGCTCCGCGGCTCTAGGGCTCAGAGCCAACTCGGAGCAGTGGCTCCCGCCTACGCTCGGCCCGGCAGCTAGCGCCCTCCCTCCCTGAGCAGGCAAGTGGGGGCCGCGGGCTGTGCAGTCCTCTGAAGTTATCCCACAACAAAGCCGCTGTGCCCGGCCTTTTCACTACCCTGGAGACCTTGCGTTTCAATGCTAGCCGTCGGGGTCCTTCCCAGGGGTCCCCTGAGTGCTCTGTAAGACTGGACTGCAATTTACCAAGTGCAAGAATCAGAACAGGTAGACGTCGGAGGACTTGCCATGTGTTACAAACATAATCATCTTTCTTCCTTTTTTCCATTCTGTATTCTTAAGTCGAGATGAGTGCCTGTCTGTTCCAAGAGAGCAGGTAGAAAGACTTAGCTCTTTTATCCTTTCAGCTACACAAAATAGATACCAATTTTTTCCTCCAGAACAAGGTGTGACCAAAGAAACTGGACACACACCTTCTTTGGCCAACTTATGCTATTCTTGTAGACAAGCTCAGTGGGAAGCTGGTATAATCGGGAAGTTGATGGTAATCACTGCTCAGAGCACGGGATGTTTGTGATCCAACAGTTTCTTCTTATTATTATGTTTTAAATGGCGTAAACCTGAGAGAGCTCATCATCTCCACTTTATGGGCAAAACTGGTATCAGGACCAGGCAGGGTCAAACCCAGGTGTGCTACCTACCGGCTTTTGCTTTGTGAGTCTTGGCCAAGAGAATAAAATAAAGTTCGCAGCCAGTGTTGGAATTTGGTGCTGAGACACTTCCTCTCTTTGGAGTCAGGCACCTAGGTGTTCCTGGGGAGCAGCTCTGGGGCTATTACAGCATTTAATGAAAGATGGAGGCTTTGCATACTAGGGCTATAGCGGGTTCCCTTCCTCCAGGTGTGTGTGGAGACCAGAATGAAGCTGAAAAAGCAGGTGACCGTGTGTGGGGCTGCTATCTTCTGCGTAGCGGTCTTCTCACTCTACCTCATGCTGGACCGAGTGCAGCACGACCCCACCCGGCACCAGAATGGAGGAAACTTCCCCCGGGTGAGTCAGACCTGCTTGGTGACCTCTTCGTATATAAGTCACCTGGCCTCAGGTTATTCTCCCCCCCTCCCCACAGCAGGAAGGTCACATCAAATTGATTGCCCTGTTCTTTCCCTGCTAAGCTTGATACAGTCCTTCTCAGCACCATGCTCTAGACCAGGAGTGGAGAATCTTTTTTTTTTCTTAAGTTTTTATTGTGAATTAATATCTCTTTATGGTTGAATAATTGTTGTTGCTGTTAAGTGCCTGTTGAGTCGGGGGAACCTTTTTTCTACCAAAATGTGTATCATCATTCATGGGCCATACACAATTATCAACTTAAAAACTAGCCTACTATATTTGATCAAACGTTTAATTGACTCACCCATATGTGATGGCTAGAACTGAGGTTGCCTTGGCAGGGCCAGACAGCCAACACCATGTGATTCAGAATAGGTATGTTAGAGATCTTGGACATCTCAGAGCTAGGGAGTGGCTGGCAGTCCTTGGTAGTGGTGTTCACATCTCCTATCTCACCAGACCCATCCATTCCTCAAGGCTCATGGTTCTGACTTTTAGAGGGAAGGATCATAGTTGGGCTGCAGGTGGTATACCCCAAGTGCCTCTCTGTGGTTTAAGGAGCTGTGGGTGATTGCTTGGGTTGGTTTTTTTTGGCAGAGTCAGATTTCTGTGCTGCAGAACCGCATCGAGCAGCTGGAACAGCTGTTGGAGGAGAACCATGAGATCATCAGCCACATCAAGGACTCTGTGCTGGAGTTGTCTGCCAACGCGGAGGGCCCACCGGCCCTGCTGCCCTACTTCACGGCCAATGGCTCCTGGGTGGTGCCACCGGAACCCCAGCCCAGCTTCTTCTCCGTCTCCCCTCAGGACTGCCAGTTTGCTCTGGGGGGCCGGGGCCAGAAGCCAGAGCTCCAGGTAAGAGTCAGAATAGCAGGAACCCACCGTGGCCATAGGCAGGGTCCTGAGTTGCTCTCCTGTCTGACAGATGCTAACTGTATCGGAGGAGCTGCCCTTTGACAACATGGACGGCGGTGTGTGGAAGCAGGGCTTTGACATCTCCTACAGCCCACACGACTGGGATGCAGAAGACCTGCAGGTGTTTGTGGTACCTCACTCTCACAATGACCCAGGTGAGGGCTCACAGGGCCCCTAGGGACTGGGCTGGGGAGTGGACTTTTTGATGGCCAGCATACAGGAGGGACAGTTGAAGGAGGTGGTGGAGTCCTCAGAGGACTGTGTTGACCCTTGCAGGCTGGATCAAGACCTTCGATAAGTACTACACGGAGCAGACGCAACACATCCTCAATAGCATGGTGTCCAAGCTGCAAGAAGACCCCCGGCGGCGCTTCCTCTGGGCAGAGGTCTCCTTCTTTGCCAAGTGGTGGGACAACATCAATGCTCAAAAGCGAGCAGCAGTCCGAAGGCCAGTACCAGTGGCGTCATGGGAGCGCCATTAGGAGCTACAAAAGTGCGGGCGGTTATCTGGGCTCTAGGATGGATGTGTAAGTCTCATCTTAAACTGTGGGTGCCAAGGGGCTAGGGAGAGAGGTAAGAGGCACCATGGCGGGTCTGGGGTGGTGGTAGAGGGGCTGAGAATGAGAAGGCAAGGACTAGTTTGAGGATAAACTCTCATCAGGCTGGAGTCCTGGTGTGGCACTGCAGGCTAATGTGCTGGACGGCAGGATCCGTTTGAGCCACAAGGTTGGCAGTTCAAGCTCACCAACTGCTCCTTGGAAACCGTACACAGGGTCTCTATGAGTTGGAGCCATCTCAGCAGCACTTAACAACAACAGTAATCATTAGGAGAGGATGATGATGATGAAAGTTATCGTCGGACTAGTTCTTGACTTCTTATACTCTCCTGGAGGTCTGGGGTGGAACCGCAAGGTGGGTGGTTGGAACTCACCAGCCTCTTCTTGGAAACCCTATGCAGGGTCACTATAAGTCATAACCATCTCAGCGGCATTTGACAACAACAACATTGTTATGAGATAGTGGTAGTTCCGTGGCAGAATTTTTACCTTCTGAATTCAGGAGATGGAGGTTCAGGTCCCAACCAGTGTACCTTTTGCATCGCTACCACCCACCTGTCATGGGAGGCTTTCATGTTGCTCTGATGCTGGACAGGTTTCCGCACAGCTTCCAGACAAGACTGGGGATTGACTTCTGAAAATCAGCCAGTGAAAACCCTGTAGGTCACAGTTGTGCATGGAGTCACCATGAGTTAGGCGCCGCCTTGACAGCAGCTTGGCTACAGAGAGCCCCTAGGGGGAGCAAAGGATTAGCATGCTCAGCTGCTAACTGAAAGGTCAGAGGTTTGAATCCACCCAAAGCCCTGGCATTCTGCCTCCAGACCTCAGCTATTGAGAACCCTGCGGAGCACCGTTCTACCCTGATACAGGTGGGATTGCCATGAGTTGGTTTACTAGGAAAGAAAGTCGGATGAGCATGAGTGAAGAGAGGGCAGGAGGCCTTGGCCCTGGAAGCTTGACTAAAGGTCCAGAGAAATGCGGGACCGGGGGCAGCATTGAGAGTGACTGGATGGCACAGGAAGGCGCATGTGTGTTCTCTTGGTCCTGGGTTTGGTGCACTGGCTCCTCCAGGCTGCACACAGGTTCCAGCATCTTCTGATTGGTAGTCCTGGAGCAGGCCTCAGAAAGAGTTCCTGCCAGGTGCTGATGGTAGTCTTCAATTGCAGGCTTGTGGGAAACGGGCAGCTAGAGATCGCGACGGGAGGCTGGGTGATGCCTGATGAAGCCAACTCCCACTACTTCGCATTGATTGACCAGCTCATCGAGGGCCACCAGTGGCTGGAGAAAAATCTCGGTAAGTCCAGGGTCAGGAATGGGAGCTCGCCCCTATAGGTGGACCTACCAACCTTTACGTTAGTAGTCGAGGACTCGGAGTGCTGTAAGGGACAGGGATGGCAGAGCGTGGCTCCTTTCTAGATAAATTCCACCAGCGTGGGTCTAGCAGGATGACATTCATCCACTGTTTGGCAAGGTAGGAGCCAGGGCTCCGGCTCCAGGGAGGCCAAGAGGCCAGACCTGAGATGTTCAGGGCCTCTGACTCCTATCCCCCTGCCCAGGTACAACCCCACGCTCTGGCTGGGCAGTGGACCCTTTTGGACACAGCTCCACCATGCCTTATCTGCTGCGCCGTGCCAACCTGACCAGCATGCTGATCCAGAGGGTGCACTATGCTATCAAGAAGCACTTTGCTGCCACCCACAGCCTGGAGTTCATGTGGAGGCAGACGTGGGGTAAGACCAGGTAGTGTGGGGGAGGGGAGCCACTGGAGTATATTTCTCCTGAGGAAGAGCAGGGATATCAGAAATTGGTCTCACTGCCTTTTAGACTAAAGGGCTCCAGATGGCACAAATGGTTTGCGCTTGGTGACTTTCCTAAAGGTTGGTGGTTCAAACCCACCCAGCAGCACCTGATGATCTGCTTCTATAAAGAAGTCAGTTGATTCTGACTGAAACAACCTCACAGGACAGAGTTGGGTCTCTCAGGCTGTCATCTTTATGAGTAGGCCCTATGTCTTTCTCCTGCTACAACAGTTAAGCACTTGTCTCTAACCGAAAGGTCAGTGGTTTGAACATCGGCAGGTCAGCCGTAAAGATTACAGTCACGAAAACCCTATGGAGCAGCCCTCTGTAACACGGGGTCGCCAGGAGTCAGAGCCTACTGAGTGGCAGCCAGTTTGGTTTGGGTTTGTGACTCTTCAGACTTGGTGTCCAAGCTGCAAGAAGACCACAGGCACTGGGGCAGGTCACCAGCAGCGGTCACTCCTTCACGTTAGGCAGAACATTGCCCTGATGCCCTCTATCGGGTCTGCTGTCTATTCCTGAGGGCCTAATGCCATATTGAAGGGCTCACCTCCCTGGAGGCTCCATGGTCTCTAGGCCCTCCGTGTGTCCTGACCCCTGGCCTGCATGTCCCATCAGGGCTGCCTGTAACCCGCACTGACCCTGGCCCCTTCAGTGTCCCTGTGCCCAGCTCCACAGGCTGCCTGTAGGTGGCTGACTGTGTGGTGTGTCTTCTACAGACTCAGATGCCAGCACAGATATCTTCTGCCACATGATGCCCTTCTACAGCTACGACGTCCCCCACACCTGTGGCCCAGATCCCAAGATCTGCTGCCAGTTCGATTTCAAACGCTTGCCTGGTGGACGCATCAACTGCCCCTGGAAGGTGCCGCCCCGGGCTATCACGGAGGCCAATGTGGCTGAGAGGTATTTGCTTCCAGCTCTGGGCTGTGGGGTTGCCGACTACATGCCACCGGGGAGTCAGGAGACTAGGCTCCATAAAGTGGGAGTGTGGGGCTTGGGTGACAGATATACACTCTGTGGCTGTGATGACCCATGTTCATGTCCCTGGAGAGTCAGGAGGGATCTGAGGAATCACCTTCCCCAGAAGGTTTTTTTCTTAGATGATTCTGCTTCCCAGTGTCTAACAAACTATTAGAGACAGCTGACTAACTCTGTGGAGAATGAGTCTCAAATTAGGTACAGTTCCTGCAGACCGTAGACTAATACGCTGTCATTTAGATTGGCCCGAATTCAACCAGGATCCTCAGAAGTCAGTGGACCAGGAATCCTCTTCTCCTGAGATGATCACACTTTTCACCCTTAGTCCCACCAAACAGCCTCAACTTCTGAGGAAATAGAGCTATTTTCTTCAAGAGAACTTTTAGGGACTCCCCAACAATTCCACTATTGCTGAAGTTGGCCCCCCAGGGAAGTGCTGGTGATGAGTGATGAAACCGTTTTAGCCAGAACCACCTGACTTTAATATAACTAGTGGAACTGGTTTTTTTTTTGCATCTGATTTCCATGATGTCTAGGAGGTGAAACATGTGACCAAAGGGAAAAGAAAGTGGTCTTTTGTTCTTTTGTTTCCAGGACGCAGAAGCGTTAGTGTTGATTCCAAGTAAGAATGTAGGCAATTAAAGCCTGACTTTTCTTAAAGTGGAACTGATATCTAAATAGGCCAGTCTAGGCAAACTGGGTGAGAGAGCTGCATTTTCTCCTTTGAACATATTCCTAGTTAGTTATCTTTTAACTTTTTATTGTGAATTGGGTGAAGGCTTACAAAGCAAATCAGCTTTCCATTCAGCAATTTGGACACATTTTGTTTCGTGTCACTGATAGCGATCCCTACAATGTAACATCTCTAATTGCACTTCCTCTGTTTCCTGTTTCCATTCTCGCTGCTTTCCTAATCCCTCTGAACCTTGTCCTTGGATACATGCTGCCTGTTTTGCCTCAAATGTTTGACTGTTCTAAGGTACACAAAATGTTCGTGGTGGTGGTATTCCCCTCAAGTGCCATCGAGTCAGTTTCAACTCACAGCGACCCTGTATAGGATTTCCAAGGTGCATCTGGTGGGTTTGAACTGCCAACCTTATGGCTCGCAGTCCAGTGCTGATCCTACAGCACCATTGTTCGGAGTCCTGGTGTGGTGCTGTCGGCTCATTGTAGGCAGGTACCATCTTGTTCTGGTCTCTGGATCATGGAGACCAATGTTCAAGTGCTCTATCATTCCATTGGGCTAATTGCTTTCATACGTCCTTGATTTTCTTCATTCTTCTTTCTTCCAGACAGGGAGAAAGAAGCATCCTCTCTTGGCAGTCTTGAAAACAAAACTGAAAAGTGCAAGTCAGGCCAGTATGGTTAAATAGATTGACAACTGTGATACCCATGATGTGCCAACTAATGTTGTGTGCCATCGGGTCAGTTCTGAACATGTATAGGATTTCTGAGGCTATAAATGTTTACAGGAGCAGAAAGTCCCATCTTTCTCTTGTGGGACAGCTGTTGGATTCAAACTGCTGACCTTACGGTTAGCAGCGCAATGCATAACCCACTAAGCCACCAATGCCCCATGCCTGTTAATGGGTTGGTCTAAAAAGAAGAAGGAACTTTTAATGATGTGTTTGAAGACTTCATTTCCTCAATGGTTTTATCATTAATTTGGGTGCAATGCAGAAAATGACAAATATTCATATATAGTTCCTTCTTGTTGTTAAGTACCATTGAGTCAGTTCTGACTCATAGCAACTCCATATAGGGTTTCACATGAGCGGTTGGTGAGCTTGAACTGCCAACCTTGCAATTCAAATCGACCTTGCAGTCTAGCGCATTAACCCACAGTGCCATACCTAGGAGCTCCTAAAAGAAGTCCAGCTGGTGCAGCGGTTAAAGTCTTGCTGTTAACCGAAAGGTTAGCAGTTTGGACCCCAAGGTCGCTCCACCAGAGGGAGAAAGGTGTGATTACCTGTTTCCATAAAGAAACCCCATGAGGCAGCTCTGCTCTGTCCTGTAGATTGCTCTGAGTTAGAATCAGCTCTCTGGGTGGTGTAAACACACAGTTACTGTACTCAGCTGCTAACTGAAAGGTTGGAGACTCCAGTCCACACAGAGACACCATGGAAGAAGAGCCTAGCAATCTACTGCCAAAACCTCAGCCATTGAAAACCCTGTGGGTGCGGTTGTACTCTGATCCCTACGGTAGGTTCACTATGAGTCACGGTCCACTCAGCTGCAATTGGTTCGGTTTGTTAAATCTGGAGTCCTGTGTGCCAGGCAGTCTTCTGAGTGTTTTATAAATATGTCAGCTCGTCCAGTTTAATCCTCTTAACATTATGAAAATGGTCCCTGTAGCGTAGTGGGTTATGTGTTAGGCTGTTAACCACAAGGTCAGCAGTTTGACTCCACCAGCTGCTCCTTGGGAGAAAGATGAGAGACTTTCTGCTCCTGTAAGGATTTATGACCTCAGAAACCATATACAGGGTCGCTATGAGTCAGAACCAGCTCAGTGGCACACAATCGTCACCACCACCACAGTTATGAGGGTATCGATGTTACTCTCATTTTATAGAACGTAAAGCACAGAGAGGTTACATAACTTTCCTAAAGTCATTCAGCCAACCAGTGCAGAGTCAGCATTGGCATGGTCTGGCTTGGAGCCCAAGGTCTTCACTCCCTGTCTCTCTGCTGCTTCTCACACCGGTGGGGCTGATGAGGCTAGAGCATCAGAGCCCAGAGCTCTGCAAGTGGGTCACATGTAATCAGTTAAGATTGATTTGATATCAATGTAGTCTAGCTACAGAGAACAGAATATGAAAGTTGCACAGCCGGTGACTGTCCTCACTCAGCCACACGTATGGAGAACACCTTTGAGCACGGGAAGTGTGGTGGTAGCTGCCAAACATGCCTGTGGCCCGCACACAGCTCCACAGAAGTTCCAGCCCAGTCAGCTCTGGGCCCCTAATGCAGAGACACCAGCACTGGGGCTGGCAGAGAAGAAGCTGGGAACCAGCGGATTCCAGATGATGCTGTTGGATCCAGTTAGATGGCTGAGCGGGATTGTAGAGCCTGAAGAGAAAAGTAGACAAACTTCCATCGTGTGTTTGGAAGATCAGAAGAATGATCCTGGGCAGAAGGGCCAGTTTGTTCTGTGTAGGGTCAGGGCAGACATGAGGTCAGGGAATCGAAGCCATAAATTCCAGTCTAGCATAAGGAAGACGTCTCAGGTTGCCAGACCATCTGGAGAATGTCCACACGCAGAAGGAAGGGCTTCTTGGTCAGGTGGTTTCCGGTGAGCCCACTCAGGGCTGGCTCTGCCTGGGGTCACCCTGAGGCTGAGGCTTCGTGTTGGGCTCCTGTCCTTCCATGTCCACAGGGCAGCCCTGCTTTTAGACCAGTACCGGAAGAAGTCCCGGCTGTTCCGAAGCAACGTCCTCCTGGTACCCCTTGGTGATGACTTCAGGTATGACAAGCCCCAGGAATGGGATGCCCAGTTCTTCAACTACCAGCGGCTCTTTGACTTCCTCAACAGCAAGCCAGACCTCCATGTGCAGGTGAGGGAGGCTCAGCCCAGGAGAGGGCTTGGGGGAGCTCCCGCACAGCCCTTCCTGTGAGGTTCTGTGTGCCCCGTTAGCTTCTGCAGCAGGGCCTTGCTTATTCCAGCTCTGCTGACAGGGTTTTCCTTATATGTCAGAATTCTCTCCCTAGTCCCTAGCTTCCCTGTGAGACCAGAGGGGGCATCATACATGGCCTCTGCTTAGGCCTAGTGCCTGCCCTCAACCCTCGCTGTAGCTTTGTGGCCAGAACTCCCAGGCAGCTCTAGAACTGATTTGTTGTTGTTAGGTGCCATCAAGTTGGTGGTACCGACCCATAGTGACCTTATGCACAGCAGAACGAAACTGATGGGAGTGGGTTTTGGGGTCCCCACAGGCCCAGTTTGGTACCCTCAGTGACTACTTTGATGCTCTGTACAAGAGGACAGGGGTGGAGCCAGGGGCTCGTCCTCCCGGCTTTCCCGTGCTGAGCGGGGATTTCTTCTCCTACGCGGACCGGGAGGACCATTACTGGACAGGCTACTACACTTCTCGACCTTTCTATAAGAACTTGGACCGAGTCCTGGAAGCGCACTTGCGGTGAGGACCCCTTCCTCCCCCCCCCACATTTCCACGATGGAGGAAATGGAAGCAGCCTTTGTGGGGCTGGGTGGGAAAGAGAAGAGTATCAGGGTGCCGGGTAGAGAGGGTGGCAGGACCTGGGGGCACTGTGCCGGCTGGTGGCTGATGGCTCTCTCTGGGCAGGGGGGCAGAGATTCTGTACAGTCTGGCCGTGGCCCACGCCCGGCGCTCTGGAATGGCCAGCCAGTACCCACTCTCCAACTTCGCCCTTCTGATGGAAGCCCGGCGCACACTAGGGCTCTTCCAGCACCATGACGCCATCACCGGCACCGCCAAGGAGGCGGTTGTGGTGGACTACGGGGTCAGGTTGGCCCCCCTCCTTCTCCCCTGTCAGCTCCCCAGCCCATGCCCCTCTTCCCATGTAGTGACTGGTCCGGCAGACAGCCTCATGGTAACGATCATCTTCTCCATGGCCTGCCCCCTGCCCACCCCCAGGCTTCTGAGATCTCTGGTCAGCCTGAAGCAGGTCATCATCAATGCAGCTCATTATCTGGTGCTGGGAGACAAGGAGACATACCACTATGACCCTGAGGTGCCCTTCCTCCAGATGGTGAGCCCTGCTCCCGAGGTGTGTGTAGGGGAAGGGGAGTGGTCCCCAGAGCTGTTATGTGAGGATGTTTCTTCCCCACCCTGGGCAAGAACCCCAAGTCCAGTGCAGCTGGTGATGCACATCCAGGACAAACCCAAGGGGTGGGCCTTTGGGTTGGAGGCAGAACTTAAGGGTCAGGTTGTTGCTTCCCACCCCCTAATTCCAGGATGATACTCGCCTGAATCACGATGCCCTGCCGGAGCGCACTGTCATCCAACTTGATTCCTCACCCAGGTGAGTCATGTGGGACTGCAGGCTGAAGGACAGAGACACCCCCCCCACCCCACCCAGGTTCTCCACATGCCCTGCCTCCACCCCTGCCCCCAGGTCAGCCCCCCGTTATGTTGGCAGATACGTGGTGCTGTTTAACCCGCTGGAACAGGAGCGGCTCAGCGTGGTGTCCTTGCTGGTCAACTCACCGCGTGTGCGCGTGCTCTCGGAGGAGGGGCAGCCGCTGGCCGTGCAGATCAGCGCACACTGGAGCTCAGCCACAGACATGGCCTCTGACGTCTACCAGGTGAGGCAGGGCCTCCCTGCCCAGCTGCCTGCCCTCCTCAGGGTCGGACTCTCAGGGAGGGTTGCTCCGGGCACAGCCCCTCTCAGGAATGGGAGCTGTCTTGGAAAGAAGGTAGAGGTTCCTGGGGTCATGATAATAGTGAGAATGACGCTGACAGTCCCTGAGTTCACAGAAAGAGCCCTGGGGGTGTAGCCGGTTAGGGTTAGGGTCTGTAACCTCAAGGTCAGTGCTTCAGATCCACTAGCTGCTCTGAGGGAGAAAGAGGAGTCTGCTCCAATTTCAGAAACCATGTGGGACACCTCTACTCTATCCTGTAGGGCCACTGACCCCGTGGAAATAGCCTTGGTTGTTTTTTTTTTGTTTTTTTTTTTGTCGTACATTTACTTACATCCTGATTTGAAAGCATAACGTGTAGTTACCACTTCATAGTTTTTCAAATGAGAGTCTGACAAGGAGGAAGGAGCAAATGACAAATGACGTCACCTCCAGTGTCAGCAGAGCAGAGGTCCTCGGAGGGCTCCAATTGCAGGGCCTGGTCGTCCTTGCTCCCGCCCCTTCCTGTGTCAGCAGGTGTCTGTGCCCGTGCGTCTGCCGGCCCTGGGTCTGGGCATGCTACAGCTTCAGCAGGGCCTTGATGGCCACCGCACCCTGCCCTCCTCCGTGCGCATCTACCTGCATGGTCGGCAGCTGTCCGTCAGCAGGCACGAAGCGTTCCCCGTACGCGTCGTCGACTCGGGTACCGGGGACTTCGCCCTCAGCAACCGCTACATGCAGGTCTGGTTTTCAGGCCTTACCGGGCTCCTCAAGGTAAGGGACCAGGGCTGGCAGAGGAGGGCCGGGCCAGAGGAAGGGCATGTGTTGGGGGTGCTGGCAGAACAGGGCCTGGAGCCGAGCAGGGCTGTCTCCAGGGTCCCTGGCTGTGCTCCCCTCTGACAGAAGGTGGATATAGGCGTGGGCCTCTTGGCTGACAGCATGGGGAAGCTGGGCTTGGTCCCTCGGGGGATTCGTCCATGCCCTCCTGGGGGCAGGCCTGATGTGCTGGGGTGGGGCCAGGGGTCAGGGCTGTGTTTTTTGGCAGAGCATCCGAAGGGTGGATGAGGAGCAGGAGCAGCGGGTCCACATGGAGTTCCTCATCTATGGCACCCGCACATCCAAAGACAAGAGCGGAGCCTACCTCTTTCTGCCCGATGGCGAGGCCAAGGTACCCTGAAGACCCCTCACAATGCCAGTAGGGCCGGGGTGGGTGCCCTCGTAGGGAGGGTGTGCAGAGACAGATGAACCGAGGCGGTGGGAGGGGGAACGTGGTCCTACCAAGAGGACAGGACCCTTTTTCCAGGGTGGCCCCCTTCTTTGCTGCTTCTGGGAGGTAGGTTTCTTGGGGGACTGATTGGAGCTTTGGGTCCAATTCTGTCTGAGCTTTAACAAACAGAAGTCTATCTTCTCTTAGTTTAAGAGAACAGAAGTCTGAATTCAGAGACCCGGCTCTGGGGAAAACCCTTGTCTTAGCTTCTCCAGCTTGCCTCTGAGTTGGACATCTTTCTCCCTGTCTGTGCTTGCTTCGTTCTATGGCTAATCTGCTCCTTGGACGTCTCATCAGTCGTTAGGGTTAAGACACACACTTCACTGAAACAGAACAAAGAAATTGTTACCAATCAGGATTGCAGCCACAGGTCTAGTGAGGACTTCCAGCACCTATCTTGGGGGGACACAGTTCAATCCGTAACACGGGCTTCTCATTGGGGCCTGGGGTCTAACTCAGCCCAGGGGTGTGAGGCCCGAGCCCTCTGGTAGCGAGTGCTTTCCCGCTCTGCTCTGTGTGCTGTGCGCGCTCAGCTACTTCCTGCTCTTTCCCCAGCCCTATGTCCCCAAGGGACCCCCTGTGCTTCGTGTCACTGAGGGCCCTTTCTTCTCGGAAGTGGTGGCTTACTACGAGCACATTCACCAGGTGGTACGGCTCTACAATCTGCCAGGTGAGCTGTACCTGTGAGAGAGGGCTCTGGGAACAGGTGTGGGTTCCACACGCTTGTCATGCTCTTCCTTCTGCCCCTTCTGCATTCTGCCTAGTAGGTAAATTTCTTGTCCCTAACACATGTAACTTTTGTGCTCTTGGAAAAAAGGTCATGTGAAAAATGCTCTGGGAACTTGCCCAGCTCAGCCTTGATTTCTCGTGGCTGAGTCTCTGGGGCTGTGGCTTGTCCTCACACCTCTCATGGTGTCTTCTTGTCCCTGTGCCCAGGAGTAGAGGGGCTATCTCTGGACGTGTCGTCCCTGGTGGATATCCGGGACTACGTCAACAAGGAGCTGGCGCTACGGTTCCACACCGACATTGACAGCCAGGGCGTCTTCTTCACTGACCTCAATGGCTTTCAGGTGATTCCTCAGGCCGGGACCCTAGAGAACCCCAGAGCTGAACTTGGACTCAGGGGGTTGGTCTGCCTCTCAGAAGAGAGAGAGATCACAGGTGCACGTGTTCAGGGCCCACGTCAGTCAGGTGCTAGTGCCCTGATCCTCTGATACCTGATCCTCACAGGTACAGCCCCGGCGGTATCTGAAGAAGCTGCCTCTCCAGGCCAACTTCTACCCTATGCCTGTCATGGCTTACATCCAGGACACGCGAAATCGCCTCACTCTGCACACTGCCCAAGCCCTGGGGGTCTCTAGCCTCAGCCATGGTGCGTAGAGAATACCCCTAGCTTCTGTTGGACACACAGGAACAGAGGAGAAGTGTAGACAGCTGTTATCTCCTTTCCCCCCGCCCCCTCAGTCACCCCAAATGACCCCTCATTTGAGCCCTGCCTGGTTTGCCAGGCCTGGCCTGCTGGGGCTCTGTGACTGCCCCACACACAGCCAACAGCGGGAGAGCCTGGGTGAGTGAGAGAGGCAGAGAAAGCCTGCCCTGGACTAGGGAGCCCACAGTCACAGCATGGGCGTCTGTCTGCTAAGGTCCTGTTTGCCTGCCTGTTCTGTTGTATGTAGCCTGTCTCTGGGGCCCCTGCCAGGGTACCTCTGCTGGACTTCACTCCTGAGTCCCAGAGTGAGGATGGTGCCACCAGGGTTAGCCTGCCCTTTTCTGGGCCTCCTATTTCCTCCTCTGTAAATTTAAGGCATGGCGGCAGCTCTTTTCTACGCTCCCTTACATACTCGAGGATTCTGTGATTTCATCCTCTCAGTAGTGACTCGGCTTCTTGTTTATCTCATGGGGCTTTTCCCTCTGGGCCTGGGGTTAGGCTCTTCTTCCAAAGTTTTGTGTCTGCTTGGGGGTGGAGGGCAGGCCAGGGGCTCACAGGTCACTTCCCCAGGCCAGCTGGAGGTGATCTTGGACCGACGGCTGATGCAGGATGACAACCGGGGTCTCGGCCAAGGACTCAAGGACAACAAGAGAACCTCTAACCGTTTCCGCCTCCTGCTAGAACGGCGAACTGTGGGCAGTGAGGTAAAACTGGGACCAGACTCCCAGGGAGCTAGGTCAAGCAGGTCCCTGTGGGCAGCCCTGAGGGTTCCGGCCTAGGATTTAAGAATGTAGCTAGAGCTGGGCCAACAGTAGAGAGAGTGGAGGGGAATGTGGGCTCAGGGTAGGAAGGTAGCTGAGAGGGCTGTGGCGAGGAGATGTTATTGTCGTGTTAAGTGCTGTCAAGTCCGTGCCACGCAGGGTTTTCGGGGAGTGGCAAGTGGGTTTGAACCACCTGCTTTATGGTTAGCAGTCTAGTGTTGATCGTGCAACACCACACCAGGAGAGAGGTACTGATCTACCTCCCTCTCTGCTTCGTCACTCATCGCCTCTGTCCCTCGTGTATATTCTCCCTTCCTCTGTGCTTTTCCTCCTGGTCCCCCTGCTCCGGCCCCACTCACCTCAAGGCCTCCACCAGCCTGGCTTAGTCTACAAACACAGGGGCAACGGTAACCAAGAGGGAAGGGCAACAGTGGGCATGCACCGATGGTTTTGGCAAGTTGGTAACTGTAGTGGGAGCCAGCTAGCAGGAGCTAGAGCCTGCTGTGTGCAGCTTCCAGTGTCTGGTGGTACAGTGGTTAAGCACTTGGCCACTAAAGGAAAGGTCTGCATTCAAAGCCACTGGCCACTCTGGGAGAAAGCTGTGGCTGTCTGCTTCCACAGACTGAACCCTTCGTCCTATAGGGTTGCTGCAAGTTGCAATCGACTTGACAGCAATGAGATTGGATTTAGGGGTTTTTTTGTGGCCCTGTCACTCGTTCATCAAATGGACACTGAGCACTTGCTGGGCCTTCAGGATGGAGAAGGACACAGAAATTCCTTAGATACAGACGCCACTCCCTAGGAATTTACTAGTGAATGGGGAGAGGGGGTAAAATATGTGTGTAAAAATACAAGGTAGACACTCCCGAAGCCAGCTTTGTCTTTACTTCTCATTTATCCCATAAGACGATGTTGTTTAGTGCCTTTGAGTCAGTACCGACTCATAGTGCCTCTGTACAGGGTTTATGAGGAGCGGCTGATTGGTTTGAACCTCCGAGCTTGAGGTTAGCAGTCCAGTGTTTATCCTACAGCGCCACACCAAGAATCCTGTAAGACATTAGATAAAATAAAAATTAAAAGTCCCACAAGTCCCCCCAACAAAACAAGATAGACATTGGCTATGTCCTACTGGTACTGAGGACAGAGAGAGAGCACTCTGGGCTCAGGGGACTCAGGACAAGTTCCTGGAGAAGGTGCCCCACCCAAGCTCAGCATTGATGAATGGACCCGGGGTGGGAGGCAGGAGGGACACTGAGGAGGGGAGTAGCAGTGAAGTCATTCAACCCGATTAGAGCTGTGCTGTCTAATATGGTAGCCATAGATTTACAGATAATCACTGGACTGCTAACCACAAGGTCAGAAGTTCAAACCCACCAGTCACTCTGCAGAAGAAAGATGACGCTTTGTGCTCCCATAAAGATTTACAGCCTCAAAAACGGTGTGCACAGGGTCACCGCGAGCCAGAACTGACTCGACTGCTCTTAACAACAGCTACAGACACATAACGGTGCCCCGAGGGTACAGTGGGTTAAGCATTAGGTTGCTGACTGCAAGGTCAGTAGTTCTAACCCACCAGCTGCTCCATGGGAGAAAGATTTACAGTCTCAGAACCCTGTGAAGCAATTCTGCTCTGTTCCATAGGGTCACATAAGTGGAAATGGACTTGGTAACAGTGGGTAGCCAATGTGTCGCCATTTAAATCCTTTAAAACTATCTTAGATTGAAAATTCAGTTCTTGAGTCATACTAGCCACATTTCAGAAGCTCAGTGGCCCGAGTGGCTAATGACTGTTATATGGATCGTGTGATTATAGAATGTTCCCATTATTGCAAATAAGCTGTCGTCAGTGCTGGGCTGAGCTCGATGGGGGAGCGGGTGGGGACAGACTGCCGAGAGCTCAGATGCTGCCCAAGGAGTCCGTACTTACTCTGGAGGCAAGGGTCACTGGCACACTGGAGGCGTCCACAGTGCAAAGGCTGGCCAAGCAGGAAGTGGTAGTGGCTTGAGCTCAGGCCATGGGCAGGAGGCTCAGGGTAAGGTAAAGAACATTGCAGGGCTGGAATGGACGCGGATTTAGCAAGTACCTGGGCATGGGAAGTCAAGGGGGAGGAAGTCGGAAGGAGGGTAGCGCTGGGACACAAATCCCGGAAGTGGCCATTGCAGAGGAAAGTTCTACTCAGGCCTGTTACATATGAAGCCCAGGTGGGCCATCCAGGGAGCAACCCCTGATAGGCAGTCATGACCAGTAGACCTAAGGACGAGGGCTGGGGCTGTGGATATAGTGTCATGCGTGAGACCACAGGATCACACAGGGCAGCCCTCAACCCGAGGCCCATACGCCACAGGGAAACATGCCTCTATCTGCCCTCTCCCCAGCCTCCTCCCTGCACCGAGACTGTTGCTTTGTGATGGGAGATGTGATTAAAAGAAGCGTGGTGCTCATGAGAGTGTTTTAAAAGCCGAAATACAGAGGTAGAGAGTGCCTGGCCTAGTGAACTAGGTGGGATGGGCAGTGGCTCCCCTTGAAGGTTTGGAAGAACAGTGCCAGGAGCCAGTTGCTGCGGCCCCTTAGTTACAGACACATCAGGGAAGCCCCTTCCACAAGCTCTAACCTGGATGGGCTTTAGTCTTCCCCTAGTTGACTTCCCTTTCTTACCCACATCTGGGGACCAATTTCTCAGGTCCAAGATGGCCACACTACCAGCTACCCGTCACTCCTCAGCCACCTGACCTCTATGTACCTGAACACCCCGGCACTCGCCCTGCCTGTAGCCAAGAGGCAGCTCCTGGACCCTGGTTTACGTTCATTCCATCCTCTGGCTTCCTCACTGCCTTGTGACTTCCACCTGCTCAACCTGCGGACACTTCAAGCTGAGGTGAGTGTCCCACTCTGGCCTGCACCTCGGTGGTCAAACTACTTCCTGTCCCCATCCTACCTTCGAGGCAGAGGTGCTCCAGGGCTCCCTCAAGCCCCTTCCCTGCCTCTTGTCCTTGTCATCCAGGATGATGCCCTGCCCTCAGCAGAGACCGCACTGCTCTTACACCGCAAGGGTTTTGACTGTGGTCTTGAGGCCAAGAACTTGGGCTTCAACTGTACCACAAGTCAAGGCAAGGTGAGCAGGACCCACGTGTGTGTGTGTGGGGGGGGCATTCAGGGAATGGAGCATCTGTGAATGGCAGAGCAGGCGCTTGGGAAGCCAGATTCAGGTGGGGCGGTTGGGCTGGGGGCTGGGAGAGGAAAGTCGCCCAGTAGGGCTTCCTGGGGAGAAAGGGTGAAGCTGTTGATATGTTTTCAAAGCTACCCAAGCTTGGTAAGGGCAAGTTTCAGGAAGTTTCAGGCGAGGCATATGGGCCTGAGAACTTGTCTTCCGTGACCTTTATTAAGCCAAGTGGAGACATCAGAAATAAAACAGCCCATACCATCACACTGTCAACTGCTAACGTCACGGTCAGTGGTTCAAACCCACCAGCTACTCCTCAGAAAACTCTGTACAGGGTCTCTATGAATTGGAACTAGCTGGACACCACCTGACAAGTTCAGACATTTCAGAAGGGAAACAAGACATACTCCTTGTTTTCAAGGAGCTCCCAGTTCAGTGCAACAAGGGTTCCTACCCTGGGGTTCACAGATGGGCTTTGCAGTGCAGTGAACCCCAGAGGTTGTATGCAAACTCTTGTGTGTATGTAGGCGTGTTGCTACTGAGAGGGGCCAGCTCTTCTACAAGAATCTTAAAGAGGCGACCAGTGAAATAACATGTTGCATTATCTCATGTGTCCGCGCCCAGCTCAGCCGTACCTTTGCTCCTCTCCACAGGTGGCCCTGGGGAACCTTTTCCATGGCCTGGATGTGGGTTTCCTGCAGCCAACCTCCCTGACGTTACTGTACCCCCTGGCCTCGCCCCCCAACAGCACCGACATCTACTTGGAGCCCATGGAGATCGCCACCTTTCGCCTCCGCTTGGGCTAGGGCTTCTTGAGGCCTGAAGACAAGTTCACCCACAGAAACTGCCTCTTAACATGGGATCAGGCTGGACAAGCCACACTGGATACCCTGTCCTGCTCTGCCTCTCAGAACTGTGACAGACTGGGCTCTGCCTTCATTTTCTGTTTATTGTTGCTTCTGTGTTTGGGGGCAACCCGCAAGCCCGGTGTTGGGTAGGTAGGGCAGGTACCAGTGGAAAAGAGGAGAGGAGGCCATTGGTCAGAGGAGGCAGTGCCATACTCAGCTTTGGGTATGAGCAGCTGGCTGCCCAGCTGGGCGTTAAGTCTCAAGCCCCCATCCTTTTCCCCAAATGGATGTGGGAGAATCAGGGACAGAGAGGTAAAGTCAGGCTAAGTGGCTATTAGCACAGCTGCAGGGTCACCGTAGGTGAGAGCTGGCTCTAAGAGGAGTCTGGGTACATGGACTACTTGTCCTGGTGTGGCAGGCAGGGTCAGCGTGACTATGGAGAGAGGGGTGGGGACCCAGAGTCAACAGTCCACAGGGAGGAGTAGAAGGAAGCCCTGTTTCTCCTAAGAGAAGGCCCAGCTACTTTCTGTGAAGGCTTCCGAGTGCCCCCTGGCCTGCAGGTCCAGCGGCAGACCAGCAGGAAGAATTGCGTAAGCACTGCAGACTGTCATGGCCAGATGTCATCGACACTTCAGGTACCCAAGTCCCCGTCTTATATGGGCACTGGTCTCTGTGTTACTTTGGGGGGTGGCAGCAGTTGTGGGGAGTCCTCCACCCTCCCTGACTCTTGATTTGGTCCCTGTGCTCTGTACACCACTGTCCCCGAGAGCCCCTTCCTGTCATGGGGGTCTAGTGTACTTCATTTCCTGGAAAGAAAGTGAAGCCTCCAAGACTGGGATCATGGGCATCTGGAGAAGGCTTTCCACAGGGTCCCCAGTCTGGCCTCCAAGCTTCACCTCTGATACATCCTTCCCAGAAGCATTCTGTTCCTGGTACAGGGCCTAAGGACTTGTCAAGTCTGTTCGACGTTTCACTTCAGTTCTTCAGCCTTCATTTCAGCTTCAATTAATAGAGAAGAATTTATGAGAGTCTCCACAGATGCCGAAAAGATTACTTGGTAAAAATTAAAATCCATCCCTTATGAAAACTCTTAGCAAGTTAAAACTAGAAAGCGACATCCTGATTTAGATCAAGGTCTCTGTCAGAAACCAACAGTGGGAGACATTCTAGAATCAAACCGTTCCGGCATTCTCAGTGAAATCAGCAGCCAGCCAGGGCCCTCCTTTACTCCGGCCTGGTTCGGACACTGCTAACCCTGCAGAAAGGCAGATGAGAGTGAGGAGCTACCATTCTCATTATTTGCAGATGACAGAAGTGCCTGCCCATAAAATCTAAGAGAATCAACTGAAGACTCTTCTCAGCATTATGTACGCTGACCCAGATGAGGTGTACATTATCATGTCCCTGTAAAGATTGTGGTTTTTCCTCAAATCAACCTATAAATTCAATGTCAAGCCAATGAGAATGGATACTTTTTGGAACTGGAAAGGTTCTAAAGTTCATTTGGAAGAAAGAGTAAATGTGTGAGAATACGAAGACAATTCGGAACAGTGAGCTAATGAGTCAGGGAGGTGGGGTCAAGGTACCTGCCCTGTCAGGTTTCCAGAAGGAACTATAAAGCTGCCGTGGATTAAATCAGTGTGGTTCTGGTGTGGGCACAGACAGACCAACCAAGGGAACTAAACAGAGTCCAGAAACAGACCCAGTCAGGTATAGGAGAATTTCATTTCTTACGAAAGTGGCATTTCACGTGGGACAAAGATGGATTATTTAATAAATCGTATTTTGAGACAACTGACTATCTAACAGAGTTCTACCTCACAGCATACACAAAAATTCCAGGTGGAAAAAAAATAAAACTACAAAATTACTGACAAAAATAGAGGCTATCTTGATACCTCTGGTGTGGGGAAGTCTTTTCAGAACAAGACCTCTAAAAGACCAGTTTTTACCACCCCAAAATGTTTGACCGTTTCCGTGTAATGGAAAACATCAAGGTTAAAACCCACATAACCGAGCTGGAGAAAACATGAGCATCATATAATCCATGGTCACAGTTGCTTTAGGAGAAAAGCTTGCTTTGGGGTCCACCAGCTAGCTACCTAAAGATCCAAGGGTGACACAGCTGAGCTCTTCCAGGCCATCGAGGGGGACGGGGGACGGCTGCCAGCACTGGGCCACAGCACAGGGAACTCTGTCGCTTGGAGAATGTGGCAAGATCCCTGGGTAAGTGGTCTCTGATGGGTCAGGAGACTGTACACTCAGTGTAGTGTGATGTTTTTAAGTGCCATCGAGTCAATTCCAACTCATATGACAGTAGAACTGCCCCTTAGGTGCCAGGCTTTGCTCTTTATGAAGCAAATCAGATCTGTTTGCCTTTAGAGTCTCTGATATTAGAACCACTAACCTCTCTGTTTGCAACCAAGCACTTTAATCATCATGCTACCAGGGTTCCTTCAGTACCACCACCCACCCCCCACCCCCGAAAAAACTTCCATCAAGTTAATCCCAACTTTTAGCAACCCTACAAGAGAGGATAGGCCTGCCTCCCGAAGGTTTCCAAGATTGAGCATTGATATGAAAGCATGCTGCTGTCGTTTTTTTCCTATGGAGTGGCTGGTTGGTTTGAACTACCAACCGTACAATTAGCAGTCCAGTAATTAACCCACTACACCATTAGGTTCCTTCAGTGTGTTAAATGCCGTCGAATTAGTTCTGATTCATAGCGACGCTGTGTAGGGTTTTTGAGGAGCAGCTGGTGGGTTTGAACTGCTGACCTTGTGGTTCGCAGTCCAGTGCTGATCCTACAGGGCCACACCAGGAGTCCTCCTCCAGGACAGCATGGTAGAGTTTATCACCTGGATTCAGATGCTAGTGTCACTGTCTTGAGCATACTAAACCGCTAACTTCTGTTTCCTCAACTGAATATCACAGTAGAAAGCATAAGATTATCGATAGGAAATGTTTAGCATAGTGTTTCAGACATACCAAACAAAACCAAGCCCATCACTAGCTAGTCAGTTTCAAATTAAAGCAACCCCCCTAAGAAGACAGTAGAACTGCCCCCATAGGGTTTGCAAGGCTGTAAGTTTTTACAGAAGCAGATATTCGTTATCTTTTTGCCCGCCAAACAGCTGGTGGGTTTGAACCACTGACCTTTTGGTTAGCAGCTGAGCACTTTAACCAATGTGCCACCAGTGCTTTGGGGCACATATGAATGGAAGTTTGTGGGAAGATTCCATTATCTTGTCATTCCATTTTTCCATGAACTTTTGAAGCTTCTTATATAGAAGCCTTAAGGAGCTATGGTAGTGTAGTGGGTATGAATCGGGCTGCTAACCTCAAGTTCGGCAGTTCAAAACTACCAGCTGTTCCGCAGGAGAAAGATGAGGCTTTCTGCTTCTGTAAAGATTTGGCAGTACTTAACAATATAGATGCCCTGGTCACCCCTGTGGGTTAGGTGGTGGTTGTGACATGCCTTCAAGTCGGTTCTGACCCACAGTGACCCAGTATAGGGTTTTTGAGGAGCAGCTGGTAAGCTTGAACTGCCGACCTTGCAGTTCAAATGGCTTTGCAGTCTGGTGCGTTAACCCACAGTGCCTCACCAGGACTCCGTGGGTTAGGTGGTGGGTGGTTAATCATAATGTTGGCACTTCAAACCCACTAGCTGCTTCAAAGGAGAAAGATTAGGCTATCTGCTCCCATAAAGATTTATCGTCTCAGAAAGCCTATGTAGTCTTGTGCTTGAATGGCAGAGGAGGGCTGCGTTTTGGTTCATACCGTATATATTGTACCTTTTGATGTATAAAAAAACCCCACCCAGATAATGCTAAAGTATCTTTAACATAATACAGTAGTAGTAACATCTTGATGCACGCACATCATGAAGTAACAGCCATTTGTTATTACTAACCATTGTATATACCTTGAATTTTTACTATAACAAGGCTTTATGGGGGCTGGTTCCTAACTACAGGTTGTGTGTGAATTAGACATTCATAACCCAGGGACCTGGATTCTGGTTCCTCTTCGATCACTGTTCAGCTGTTAGACCATTAGCAGGTCATCTCACTTTAGAGTTTCACGTTGCTTCATGTTCCTACCCCACCTTTTTCACCAGGTTATTATAAAGAAGAACATAGGTGAGAAGGTTTTCTGAAACATCAAGCACCTTGTGAAAGTTTTGATCTTTGCATTCTAAAGACAAGGTGGTGATGGGGTGCCAATGTTAAATATTATGAAACTTTAAAACACTTAGAAACTATTTTAAAACTTAGATAAAAAGTGTGAGGACGGAAGTGAACGGCAGTAGAGTTGGTCCACCTCATAGTGACCCTGTATAAGATTTCCAAGGTGGATTTAAACCACTGATCTTGCTGGAAGCAGTCTAGTGCTTATCCTACAATGCCATACCAGGACTCCAAGGACAAAAGTGTAAAGTGCTGTTGAGTCGGTTCCAACCCATAGCAATCCTGATTAGGGTTTCCAAGGAGCAGCTGGTGACCTTGAACTGCCAACCTTGTGGTTTAAAATGACTTTGCAGTCCAGTGCATTAGCCCACAGTTTTTTGTTGTTAAATGCCTTCGAGTCAATTCCGACCCATAACGATCCTGTATAGGGTTTCCAAGGAGCAGCTGGTGAGCTTGAACCAACGACCCTGCAGTTCAAACCGACTTTGTAGTCTGATGCATTAGCCCACAGCACCACACCAGGACTAGCCCACAGTTGTTAAGTGCCATCGAGTCGATTGCGACCCATAGCGACCCTGTACAGGGTTTCGGAGCCCACAGTAGATTCCTGTAATTCCCGCAAAAATACAAGGAAAATTTTTCTTTCCAAAACCTACCACGTGGTGGTGGGCTGGAAAGCATTATTTTAAGCGCCATTTATGCGTTTATATGGGTCTGTGTGAAACTTTTAAAGTTGACTTGTATTATCAACTTTTTTGCAAAATACTTGCAGTGGGACCTCCTTTGGGCGGGAAAACCCTCAGGGGTCAAAACAACGTGGTCTTTGACCTGACAAACTACTCATCCCACCCCACCCCAGATGTTCCCTTTTCAAGTTGATTTAAGCCTCCGCACCCCAGCAGCGATCAAAAAGCAACCACCAACGCTGAGCGAAATTCCACTACCAAGTTGTACTATAGCCCCGGGACCACTTCCGGGGGCGCCCGGAAATTCCTGTCGCATAGCAACCGGAGGATTCCCACCATCTGATAAGACTGAGCTAAGCAGCTGTTAAGCACCGCAAGAAGTTTCCATTCTGAACCCAGAGCCCTGCACTGGCCCTATTCTGTTGCTGCTGCTGCTGGGGTCCCTCTCGTGCCCTGCAAGGTTTGCAAGTTAGCACGCAGCTCTACTTTTCAATACATGTCATCTCTTCCAGCATTCTTAGCCAGAAGGCTTCCATTTCTTATCTGTATGTCACACACCACAGAACCTGACCCAGATAGTTACACAACTCTCTCACAGATAGGGAAGCCAAGTTCAGAGGGGCTGAGGCCCACAAACTGAAGGGCCTGTAGAGAAAATACACAGTTGGAACCCTGACCAGTCATCCACTCAGGAGGCCCGAGAAGAGCAGCAATTTAAACCTTTACCCCAAAAGCTTTATTTTTCATAATGACTTATGTTCTAGTTTGTTCCCGGTGGCCCAGCAATCCTGCCATGCAAAATAGCAAACAGTCAAGGTCTGATGAAGGGTGATGAGAAATGATGGGATGTATCCAATTCCCGTATTCCAAGCTCACTTAGTTGGTAGGAGACCTTCAGAGTGAGACAAAACAAGGTTTTTGGTGTCTCTGAGATCTGGGCCAAACAAACCAGAGGGAAGTGAAAGGCGCGGGTATGAATCGAATCGTCTCTGGCCAGGATGAGGCTGGAATCTGCGCTACCTGATGGCTCCAAGAACTGCTCAGAGTGTCAGTCCCCGCTCCTTGAACAGCTGCTTTAAAGCCTCTTCTAGTTGCTGGTTTGTTCCCTGAAGCCCCCTCACCACCTGTGCTGCCCACTCGAAGTATTCTTGAACTCGATGTTCTGACCATCCTGCATATAAGAGTGGACAGAAACCTGCTTGTGGGACAGCAAGGATAATACTGGTTCCGCCCACTTTCTGGAGAGTTTGGTGCAGGGTCAAGAGAGAAATTCCTGATGGAATGATTTCTCCAGAAAACTTCACTTTGGGCCCAGCTATTTAGACCTTAAGAAAAAAGATCAAAGAATGGTCTAATGGGATTAGTTTGGGGGATTAGCAAGTAAATCCAGGCCTTCTTAAGGGGAACTGACTAGCCTGTGACCATCCCTCCCTTTTCCCTTCCCCAGGTAGGGAAGCGTACCCACTGGGGTGCAGCGATTCAGGTCCCTCAGATTGTACAGCTTGTCTGCCAGCTTCACCAGTTTGGCCCCAGGGCTACTGTGGGGAGCGTGCTCCACCTGCAGCCGCTTTCTCTCCAGCTTGGGTAGAGTCTTGTCATCTGTTACCTCCTCCACTAGGCGTCGAACCTGCGCCCCAAAGTGTAGCTCCACCTCATCCAGGGTAGTGTCTGTGTCTTCCACCGTGTCATGGAGCAGGGCTGCCTAAGGACAGGGCTCCCATTCAGTCCTGTGACGTAAACCAAGGGGCGCCCAGAGCTAAATGGGACCCCTGGCCCCTACCCCAGTTTAGTAGAGTAGGAGGAGAGTTACCTGTAACACCACAGGATCAGTGATTCCCGCCTCATGGGTCAGGATCCTAGCCACACCTAACGGGGTAAAGTAAGAAGTAATCAGGTAGCCGCTAGGCTGTGCGTTCTAAGTTTTGCAGTCAGTCATATGTAGCCCCTTAGTAGCTGGGTGACCTTGGGCAAGTCCCTTATCCTTCTGGTTGTCATCTGGGTGTCAATTGAAAAGGGAGCAATCATGCCTACCGCACTGTGAGGCATAAACGGCATATCCCACCAACGCATATGCCTGGCACAAAGCTAGGTAATGAGCAGGCGCTCAAAGAGGTGTGCGTCCTCTACGTCCCCTTTCCCATCCCGGTCCCCCAGGCGCCGCGGTGGTTGCTCCCCAGCCGGCCTGCCCACCGATGGGGTGGTTGATGTAAGGTGTCCCTTCGGGGTCCTTCCGTCGCTGCTGTCGGTGCTTGTGAGCCGCGAAGTCAGCAGCCTCCAGAAGCTGAGCTGCCTCGGAGCCCATCGCGCGCGTAGCGCGGTGGCGGTGGCCAGGGACGCTGGTGAGCCAGGCCAAAGCGTTCATAGCGCCTCCTGGCGCCGCGGAGGCCCAAAGAACTGGGAATTCCTAAACCCAGCTCGCAGCAACCCAGACGGTTTCTTGCCCCAGACTCGTCTCCAATAGGCTGATGGTATCAAAGGCACAGACGGCCACTGGTGGGGAGAGCTGCCTTCCGCATCTCCCGCCCTGGTTCACTGCATTTTGCTGGGCGCTGAGGGTACAAGATGAACATGGCTTACAGTCCGCCCACAGACAGGAAAGCAGACAGTGGCCTCGCTGTGTGCTGAGTCCAGGGTGGGAAGTCACAGGGGCCTCTAGTGCCCTGCTGCTGCTGCTGCTAAGTCCCATTGAGTTGGCTTGACACAGAACAACCTTGTGTAAGGTTTCTGAGGAGCAGCTGGTGGGTTTCAACTTCAGACCTTCCAGTTCACAGTCCAGTGCTGATCCTACAGCACCATACCAGGAGTCCTGAAAGAAGAGCATTTCACCTAATCTCTGGGTCAGAGATAGCGTCCCCCAGCAGGGCCTCTCCCCTACGAAAAGACAATCTTTTAACCTGTCAGTGCTCAGAAAATTCTCAACTATGCTGATCCTAGTTCTCCCTGCAGACATGGGCCTGGTTGCTATAGGCACAGAGCCTCACCTTTGGGCCCGAGAGACCCTAGGGAAATTGGATCCTACAATGGGAGCCCTACCTAATTGCTTTAGATTTAGGTTTTCCGCTGTTTCTTACGGTCTTCGCTGCTCACAGTTGCTGGAACGAAATTTGCATTGCTTTCTTGAGACATAGAATTCATAGTTCAGTCCCCAGGCACCTGCTGTGGGCCCCTGGGATGATGAGCTTTATCACTGCTGTTCTGGGAGCATTATGTTGTCAGGCTAGGGCAGACACTGGAACAAACACTAAGGCTGCTGGCTGGTGGCCTTAGGCTTTCTGAAGAAATTCAGTCAGTGGATGACAGCTATTCAGTATAAGGCATAAGAGAAACTTGGAGGACCACACACACACACATATACACACACACAAGCTTCCCTGTGAGATGGATTGACTAGCTTCTGAGTATATTCCAACCAGACAGGTAAGTTTTGTGCTTTGGCTATAGCTGGGGCAAGTGAAGGCTGGGAAAAAGTTACTGAAAGAATTTATCTTTGTTTTTCAGCTAGTTTTGGTAACTCATGTTGTAGGGGTTAAAAAAGAAAGCTCCCTGGTCAGAAATGCCATCGTTTCCATGTTGTTGTTGTTATTAAGTGCCACCGAGTTGGTTCCAACTCATAGTGACCTTATATAGGGTTTCCAAGGAGCAGTTGGTGTTTTTTTGTTTTTTGTGGGGTTTTTTTAGCTGGTGTGTTTTAACCATAAACCTTCTGATTCAAATGGCTTTGTAGTCTAGCGCATTAACCCCTAGTGCCACAGGCTGTAAGTTGGAGACTGGGTGAAGAGAAACAATTCTAAATATCTGTTTTTCAGGCTAATGGTTCAGCTGTCTCTCTCTCTCATCCAACATTCTGTTCTCCAGTCTTCTCAGCCATTTCCCCTTCAGCTCAGAAAGCTGTAAGCAGCTTGGAGCTAGAGTTCCCACATTTTTAAACAGAAACTCAGTCCCTTTCCTCTTTCTTTCGAGGTTTGCAGCAGAAGCTTCAGGTTTGTGCTAATGGTATCTGAGGACTGTTTGTTTTGTTCTTATTCTCTACAGTTATGGCCTAGAAAGAGGTGTTGGCATTTCTAGGACAGCTGAGGAGGGGGTGACTTCCCATGGGCTTCCGGAGAAAGCCAGGCCCCCTGCTGATAGGCCTGCCCCTGGGGCTACAGCTGCTCTTCGGCTTGGTGGCCCTGGCTCAGCAGATTTCTCTCTCAGGTACTTCCCAGTTCCCTTCCCACCCCGCCCCAAAATCCTCTACTCTTAGCAGGGTGCGCTACTCTAAGGGAGCTGCTCGGGAGGGGAGAAAGGATGCCTGGCCTGCCCCTCTGGAACTAGTTGATCCCTTTCATCCTCTGGAAGGGGTAGGGTAGGGTCAGGATCAGGTGTGAGCAGATAGCCTGTCTCCAGCCCCTTTGCCCCACCCGCCCTGCAGCACTGGCCCACCATCCCCACTTGTGTCAGACGACTCGGGACGCCGATGGCCGCCACTACCCAGGCTTCTTTTGTCCTCGGCTCTCGGATACTCCGGAGGAAGCCTACTGCTGCCATCTGCAGGCTGCAGGGGCCTCCTGCTGCACCCAGGCTGAGTTTGAGGCCTTGTACCAGGTCAACGTGTCCACCCTTCCACCCCAGCCCATTCTCAGGTGAGAGAACTCAGGTGGGGGAGCAGCTGAAGAGGTACTGGGACGCTGACATCATGTTCCAGGATCTGAGGTTCTGTTCCTAAGTTCTGGAGTGAAGGCTGTCATTTACAGACTAGAAAAGCCACTGATATTAATCAGAAAATCCCATGAATACATGATTACAAACAATTATAAGAAGAAAAAGTTCAGGGCTGTGAAAGTGGATAAATGGATGACATTGTATGTGTTGGGTGAAAGGTCAAGTCTGAGAGAATCTTCTAGTAGGTGGTTACGCACTTTATAGATGTTGTAAGTGCTGTCAAGTCTGTTTTGACTCATAGCAACCCTGTAAAGTATACAGAGTTTCCAAGAAGCAGCAAGTACATTTAAACCGCTGATCTTATGATTAGTAGTCCAGTGCTTATCCTACACTGCTACATCAAATCTGGAATCTGTCCATAGATTTGTCAGGGTTCCAATAAGCCCAGACATTTTTATGTAAATATTTGTGTGTATCTATATGTGTGGCACTGTAGGATCCGCACTGGACTGCGAACCACAAGGCTGGCAGTTCAAACCCACTAGCTGCTCCTTGGAAACCCTATTTAGGGTCACTATGAGTCAGAACCGATTCAATGGCACTTAACAAAACAACATGTCCACAGAGGAGCATGGTGGCTCTGTAGGATAAGCACAGGATTGCTAACCACAAGGTGGGCGGTTCAAATTCATTAACTGCACCTCTAGAGAAAAATGAGGCATTCTACTCCTGAAATAATTTACAGCCTCGGAAGCCTTGTATAGAGTCTCTATGAGTCCAATGCACTCCATGGCAGTTAACAACAACAATGTATACATATAGCCAGGGACAGAATCTCAAACTTCAAGGGATGTGTAGCTCACAGAAGGTAGACCTGGTTGGGCTGCTAACCACATGGATGGTGGTTCAAACCCACCAGCTGCTTGCGGGGGGGGTGGGGCATAGGGAGCGGGTTTACAGTCTCATAAACCCTGTGGACAGTTTTACCCTGTAGCTGAGTCACAATCCACTCGATGGCAGTGGGTTTGGTAGTTTTGGGGGAGGTAATTTATAGGCTGTGGCCTCAAGTCTACAGGCTACTGATATTCTCTCCTATCCACAGGGGCACAGGCCCACTCATAGCTCTGGGTCTCTACAGCTTGATACTTGTCACTCTGATGACCGTAGACCTCTTGCACTTCTGCCGCGGCCGGAACCCAGGCCACCACGAACCGCGCGCTCCATCCTCCACCGCTCGCCCCCTGCAGGTCCCTGTAGGTACATACTAGGCGCGCCCGGAGGTCCTCTGAGCCTGCGGACCTCGGAGAAAGCCCCGCCCCTTCCTCCGCGCGCGCTCTCCCCTTGGCCCCCACTCCTGCTCTGCCACGCCTCCGACGCTGGACTGGGGCGGGGCAAGCGACGGCAGAGTGCAGAGCCTAGACCCACCCCGCCCCAGAGAGTGCGCCTGCGCGGGTCCCGGACGTCGGCTTTGCGATGACTGTGAGTGATCCAGGGACCCCTGAACCCCGACCTGTCGCCCCCGGGGTGCGTACTCATTCCCCGATGCCATCCCTCTTCGTACCTGCCCTAACCATTCCTCGGATTCCTTTTCCTCCCAATCTTGACCCCGATGCCCACTCCCCAGCGCCCTAACTCTGCCCTGAATCCACACCCTGCACCTCCTTTCCTTCCCCAGGCTAGTTCAGTGGAGCAGCTGCGGAAAGAGGGCAACGAGCTCTTCAAATGCGGAGACTACGAAGGCGCGCTGACCGCATATACGCAGGCCCTGAGTCTGAACGCGACACCCCAGGACCAGGCCATTTTGCACCGGAACCGGGCCGCCTGCCACCTCAAGCTGGTAAGGGTGCCGGACCACCCTCCTGACCAGGACGGGCCCTGGCTTGCTCGTCTAGGCGGCTGCTTGGGCCCCAGCCTGGCATTCTTCTTCCGAGGCCACCCACTCTTGTCAGATGCCTTCTGGGACTTTGGGTGGTGGTGGGGATCAGGTGATTTGGGACACCAAGAGCCCCTCTACTGCCTGATAGCGCCCCAAAGGCAGGTGACCAGCGTCTCAGGCTCATGTTCTTTCCCTTACAGGAAGATTATGGCAAAGCAGAAACCGAGGCATCTAAAGGTAGGGGAATGTGGACTCTGGTTGGAACTATGGGGCTTCTACAGGACCACTGCATCATCACACTCTTCTCCTTTCACCCCTGAAACACATCTGCCTTCTTTTTTCCCATTTCCTGGGGCATTTCCTTTTCTACAGCTACCTTCACCTTTTCTGAGGCTGAAGTATCCGAGCCCTGCATCCGTCCCCCCTCCTTCCTCGGGCCCTCAAGATCTTTCACTCCTGTTCTTGCCTGGAGATGATCGCTTCATGGGTGCTGACAGAACTCCTGTTTGTGCTCAGCCATTGAAAAGGACGGTGGGGACGTCAAAGCACTTTACCGGCGGAGCCAGGCCCTAGAGAAGCTGGGCCGCCTTGACCAGGCTGTCCTCGACCTGCAGAGATGTGTGAGCCTGGAGCCCAAGAACAAAGTTTTCCAGGAGGCTCTGCGGAGCATTGCAGGCCAGATTCAGGAGAAGGTATGTGAGTGACGGAGAGAGATGGAACAAAATGGAGGTGCCCACCAGTGGGCGAGGGGAATACTGGTAAAGGGGTCTGGACGTGGGGTAGAAACAGGCAGCTCCTGGGAGAGGAGATAGTCATGGCAAGGGAGCACACAGAAGTATGTTCCATGTTGCCAGTGCTCAGGAAAAAGCAAATTATAATCACGGCAAGGTACTGATTTTTTGACAAGTACTCAGAAGTTTGTACATGTGGCAGACAATTAGTGAGTTATAGGGACACTTGACTGTCCTTGCTGAAGGAGTGGGAATTGACATAGCCCCTGTGAAAGGTGCTTTAGCATCTGTTAAGAAACCCTGGTGGTAGTGTGCATTGGGCATGGGCAGCTGACTGCAAGATGTGGTCCAACCCACTAGCCACTCTGGGCGAAAGATGAGACTGTGTGCCCCTGTAAAGATTTACAGTCTGGGAACCCTATACAGGGTCACTGTGAGTCACAATTGACTTGACGGCAGTGAGCTTGGTTTGGGGTTTGGTGGCACCGTGAGTTAAGCATTGGGCTGCTAACTGCAGGATCTGTGGTTCAACCCCACCAGCCACTCCATGGGAGAAAGCTGAGACTTACAGTCTGGGAAACCCTATGGACAATTCTGTGTCCTCTGGAGTCACTCATGAGTTGGAATCGACTTGTTGGCAGTGGGTTGGGGTTTGGTTTTAGCATCTGTTAACATTTGAAATGAGCATCTCCTTGTTGTCTATTCTAGAGAATTCTTGTCCATGTGCACATGTAGGTGTATGCCTGTTTACTCCAGTCTTGTTTGTAGCAACAGAAAATTGGAACTTGCCTAAATGCCAGCATAGGGGAATGGCCGTATTACAGACCCCTGTGTTGGCAAGAGCAGGTGGCTCCTCGGTGCTAACAGGGAAAGCTCCCTGACGTTTGTTCAACAGAAAAAGCAAATGATCCAATAAAACACGTGGTATACTAAAGGAGCTCTGGTATCGTAGTGGTTACGAATCAGGCTGTGAACCTTAAGGTCAGCAGTTCGAAACTACCAGCTATTCCGTGGGAGAAAGAGGAGGTTTTTTGCTCCTGTAAAGATTCACAGCCTTGGAAACCCTGTACAGGGTCAATGTGAGTCGGAACTGACTCCACGGCACATAACAACAACAACAATACTATCAAAACATGGAGCCCTGGTGTGGTGCTGTGGGCTAATGCAGCAGACTGCAAAGTCATTTGAACTGCAAGGTCGGTGGTTCAAGCTCACCAGCTGCTTCTTGGAAAGTCTATACAGGATTGCTATGGGTTGGAATCGACTTGATGGCACTTAACAGCAACAACAACCATCGTAACATTTATATTAAAATGCTTCCCATTCTCCCACAGAGGTGCTGCGTTTTTTCTGTGGACATATGTAAACATAAAAACAGGGTTTTTAAGGTACACCTAAAAATGATAACACTGTGATCCTTGGGGAGAGGAATGGGGTTGAGAGAAGAACCTTCCCCATCTGCGTTTTTTTTCAATGAAGAAGCAGTGTTCGTATGTTGTTGTTAAATGCCATCAAGTCAGCTCTGAGTCGTAGCGGCCCCCTATATAGGGTTTCCGAGGAATGACTGGTGAGCATGAACTTTGTTGTCCAGCACATTAACCTGCGGCACCACCCCAGGACCCCACAGTGTTTAAATGGTAGTGGTGGTGGAGTCAGTTCTGACTCAGAGCGATTCCGTATAGGGTTTCCGAGGCTGGAAATCTTTACGGGAGCAGAAAGTCTCACCTTTCTACCACAGAACAACTGGTAGTTTCGAACAGTGAAATTAGCAGCCTGACTTGTAACCACTATGCTGCCAGAGCTCCTTGTTCATATAGTGTGTGTAACTGAAAATCAATTTAGAAGAAAGGATTCTAAACACCATTGGCAGCTATAACCAAGTTTGAATCAACCAGAGATTTCAGTGTTTGAATGTGGATGCAGCTGAGGCAGGCGATTTGATGGCAACTCCTTATTGAAAACTTCAGGCCCAGGAACACAGTAGTTTTCCTCTCAGTGCCAGCTGTTTGATTGGCTGCTAGAACCTTCTTTTGATTACCTACTAGAACCGTCTCTTGATTGCCTACTAGAACCTTCTCTTGAAGATTAGGAACGGGTCTTTGGGGCTTACTTAGACCAAGGAGACACGCCTTGGCTGATTAGTCCTGTCTGCCGTGAATGCAAGGGGGTGCCACACGCATCTGTTAGGCATATGCCATCCATGCCTACCTAAGACCCTGGGAAGGATGTGGATCTAGGATGATCTTGCCCATCTAGTTTCTTTGAAAAATGATCAAAGGAAAGCTAAAGGGATTGCTTGCAACTCTCTCGCGATCTGCCTGCTCCCTGGCAAGATCTATAGATGCCAAGTGAGTGCAGCACGTCATGTGGCCATACTGCCATAGTGCCATGGGGCGTGGGTGCCTTGTGGCTAACTGGAGGCATCCCCTCTGAATGGCACAGCCTTCAGCATCCATCCTGCCCCTGCTACCCAAGCGGGAAGTAGCTCAGAGAAGAAAACAGCCCACAGGAGATTCGGGAGGGGGAGGAGCTGTCAGGCGAGTCTGTTCCTGCCCGAGGCAGCTTGGTGCCATCCCTGAGCCCTGGCATCCACACTGGGCCTCCAGAGACAGGAGAAGCCAGGCCCTGGGAGGAGCCAGTGACAATAAACAGGGAATGTGTTGTCCCTTCTGAGAGGAGTCACTTCTTCCATGTATTGCTGGTTTGTCCTAGGTACGATACATGTCCTCAACGGATGCCAAAGTGGAACAGATGTTTCAGATATTATTGGACCCAGAAGAGAAAGGCACTGAGAAAAAGCAAAAGGTATAGGCCCTGAACTGAGATGAACTTCTCCTAGAGCTGCCTGTCCAGAGCGTCCACCCTGCTTGCTGATGTTGACCCAGATGCCCCTGCTGACCTGGCTTGGAGCTCTGAAGGCCTGGGGGCTTAGTGTGAGCCACGGAGAGGGAACACATGCTGATGGAGCGCCTTGTGGCCAGTCACTAAGGGTTCAGGGATGACCGAAGCGCTGTCCCTGCCCTTTCCCATTTACTAGAACCACCAGCCCTGAGAAGCAGCTCTTCCTTCCAGTAACACTCCAGGAAACTGCAGTTCAGGGAGGCTCAGTTTATGGCTGAGGTTACTCAGTGGAAACAGTGAGGTCCCATGCTCAGGGGCTTTGCCGGTTCTAGCCTTGCTGTGTGTCCTTCAACACAGGCTTCTCAGAACCTGGTGGTGCTGGCCCGAGAGGACGCCGGAGCTGAGAAAATCTTCCGGAGCAACGGAGTTCAGCTCTTGCAACGACTGCTGGACACAGGGGAGTCTGACCTGATGCTGGCAGCTCTGCGCACATTGGTTGGCATCTGCTCCGAGCACCAATCCCGGGTAGGTGAGAGAGAGCTTAGTACTGTGGTCAGTCTCCACCTGATTACAGCAAGAACCTAAAGCCAGTGTAGTCACTTCTCGGGGCTGATGTAATAAAGTACCACTGACTGGGTGGATGAAGGTCATAGGGATTTATTGCTTACGGTTCTGGAGGCCAGAAGTCCAAATTCAGGCTACTGACAGGCCCCTGCTCTCTCTGAAGGCTCTGAGGGAAGAGGCCTCCTGGTCCTTCCCGGCTCTGATAACCAGAGCACTCCAATGTCTGCCGCCACCTTCCCATGGCTGTCTCCTGCTGGGTCCTTCTATATTTGTTATTACTAACTTTTTACTGTGAAGTGAGTGAACATTTACAGAGCAGATTATCAGTTTTACATTCAACAGTTCATTCACATTTTGCCTGATCTCAGTGATTACTGTCACCACAACATATAACATCACTTTGCCCACTTCCTTCCTGTGTTTCCTGTTTCCCTGCCTCTTTCTTTCCTATCTTCTCCTCTTTTACAAGGGCACCGGTCACCCTGGGATCAGGGCCCACACTACTCCTGGGTGAGTTTGTGTTAACTAATAACATCTTCAGAGACGATTTTTCCGAACAAGGTCACATCCACAGCTTAGCTTTTGGGGATGCAATTCAACCCAGAACAGTAGAGTACAGGGAGATATTTAACAGGAGAGAGAAAGGAAAAGGGCATAAAAAAGACCCATGTGGTTTGGGACCAGTGGAGCCAGGAAAGAGCAGGCCAATGTTTAAGCACTTGCTTCCTGTGGGCTGTCTGGAGGCAGCTCCCTAATAAGACACCTGTCATCGACTCATCATGTCATCAACTCATCATGTCCACATGATAAAAGCAGGCACCTGTGCTTGTTCTGAAGCTGAGACTCCCCTGGTGGGTGTCCTCACAGCAAGAGGTGGGCTTCACCGATGTCGCCCGCGGCATCTTCTCTGCTGAGGTGGTGACCAGATGAATATTCCCAGCATAGACGGACGATTTCCCAGCACGGGACAGCTCAGTAAGAAGAGCCCTGTCCCCTGGGGCAAGTGGTGAACTCTAAAACCCCCAGCTCTTGCCAGAGCGTGCTTGACCCAGGGGTCAGAGACTTGACCTCTTGACTGCTCTAGATCAGGGGTAAGTCTGTGAAACACCCCAGGCCGACCTTACACTCTAGTTCATCGTGTCCCGGGGCTACAAATGGGAAAACCTATGTGAATCCATCTGCCTCCTTCTCCGTCCCAGTGTGAACCAGGACAGACCCAGCTTCACAATGGGATGGAGAAACCACGCAGGCCTGTTTGATGCATGTCCGACATATCCACGAGTGTGGCCATGGCCTCAGGTAGAACCAGGTGACCTTGGACCTCCTAGTTGGAGACTTTTGTCCTGGTTTTTGTGTCTCCTTCCTGAGGAGATGTGAGCCAAAGCAGCTGCTTCCGGGACAGCCACCCGTCTTTTTTTTCTGATGGGAGCCAAGTTGTGGAGAGGTGACGGTAGAGTCCTCTGGAATGTTTTCTTTAAGAAGACTTTCCAACAAGACCTGGGGCACACCTGCACACAGGCCCACCTTCCTTGTCTTCACCTAGAACGCCTCCTTCCACCCAAATGCTTTCTCACCTGCTAGCCACACTCTGGGACACATATTTAGGAAGTTGTACGGCTGTCCTTGCCAGCATGTGATTTCTGTCCACTCTCCCACTCCAGACAGTGGCCACCCTGAGCGTGCTGGGAACTCGGCGGGTGGTCTCTATCCTTGGCGTGGAAAACCAGGCTGTATCCCTGGCGGCCTGCCACCTGCTGCAGGTTATGTTTGATGCCCTGAAAGAAGGCATTAAGAAAGGCTTCCGAGGGAAAGAAGGCGCCATCATCGTGGGTGAGTGGACACAGGTCTCTGGTCCCTGGGACAGTGCCATCGTGGAGGGGTGGTGCTGACCAGCTAGGCCAACTCCTTTTGGGACTAGACTTTCAGCTGCAAGTTGTTCAGGAGTGTGTCTTGATGACGGTATTTTACTCTAGCTTCAAAGCAGCCAGCAGGTCTGAGGTGAAGGCTGGAGCCAGGCCCAGCAGGTGTTCCTTCCCTCTGTCTCCCTGGCCTGTTGGGCAAGTTCAAGGGTCAGACCAGGGCTGGGCCACCATGGAGCTCACTGATGTCTTCTTGTTGGCAGATCCTGCCCGGGAGCTAAAGGTCCTCATTAGTAACCTTCTGGAGCTACTGACTGAGGTGGGGGTTACAAGCCAAGGCCGAGACAATGCCCTGACCCTCCTGATTAAAGTGGTGCCCCGGAAGTCTCCTAAAGACCCCAACAACAGCCTCACCCTCTGGGTTATTGACCAAGGTATGTGGTATGGTTTAAGAAAGAGCTGGAACGTAAGTAAGCCCAGGAGTTAAGAAAAGTCACAAGTGTACCCAGACATGTGTCTGTGTTGACATGCCCATGGTCTGCCTGTCCCTGTGGGAACTCAGACTCGTCAGTGCACATACGCACACACAGCAGGCCTGCAAGCAGGCTCACAGCTAATCCCTGAGCAGGGCGGGCTAGACTAACTTTTTGTCTCGGAAGTTTCTTTCTATGAACTTGTGTTACTTCTTTACTGAAGAAGAAAATAAAAGCTGAACGTGTAAATCCAAACTTCTCATTTCCCCCAAAAGATAAATGAAACAAAATCTTCTCTACAGACTTTTTGTTGGCCCACTAGTCCTCTGTGGTGAGGATGTGATTTACCTCTTCAGTTTGACAGATGAGGAACCTCAAAGCCCCAGAACACTGGGCCCCATGTGTAGGGCCGGGACGTAGACCCCTGACTTCTGAGGGCCTTTTCTGATACCACAGCTGACTCAGCTGACTGAACTCTAACCTTCTTTTCTCAGAGGAAGGTGGGCTTGTTCTCCTGGGCGTCGTCTCCCAGGAATCCTCTTCCCTTTGTCTATAGGACCTGGAACTATTGTTGTTAAAGTTTTGTTGGGTCAGTTCCGACTCTTAGTGACCCTGTTTAGGGATTGGAACTAGTGGTCTCTACGTTGGTGTCTTTTCAGGCCTTAAAAAGATTCTGGAGGTGGGGGGCTCTGTGCAGGACCCACCTGGGGAGCTCGCGGTGACCGCTAACAGTCGCATGAGTGCCTCTATTCTCCTCAGCAAGCTCTTCGATGACCTCAAGTGTGATGCAGAGAGGGAGAACTTCCACCGGCTCTGTGAAAACTACATCAAGTAAGGGAATCTTTCTGTCTTCCATTACTGGAGCAAAAAATCAGAACAAAAAATTCTGATGCTTTGAGAAGGGACAGCAATAGGGAGAGTAGCTTTAGGGAGGACAGCCAAGGGTAGACAAAATAGCCCTGAGTCCCTTTCCTGGTCCAAAGTGACTGCAGCCAGGCAAGTTTTTATTTCAAATCAGTTTTCTGAGAACAGATGTCCTCCAGCACATACTGTGTTTACCGAGCACTTGCTGTGGACATGGGGGCTTAGAAAAGTGCATGGGGAAAAATTCCATTATTTTTTCATTCCCTTTTTTCCACAAACTTCCTGAAGCCCCCTCATATCTGTGCCAACACAGCTGTGACCCACAATGGTAAACACCAGTGATACACACACAATGAAATGAACAGAACGGTTTCAGATCTTAGGAAGTTCGGGGAAGACACTAATAGGGCAGCATGAAGGAGAGTAAGAGTCTGCCCTGTCAAACGGTGTGTTTTCAGGGAAGGCACGACTGAAGGCCCAGATAAAGAAAATCGGCAATTGCTTTCCAGATGGAAATGCCCTAATCCTTTCCTGTTGGCAGCTCCTCTTAATGTTTCTGCTAAAACAGCGAGTGCCTGGCCAGTTGAGGGGAACGGAGAAGGGAAGCAGGGTCAGCCTTTTAAGCTAGTCTTCAAAGCCATCACTCTGTGCCCTCAGGAGCTGGTTTGAGGGCCAAGGGCTGACCGGGAAGCTGCGGGCCATCCAGACTGTGTCCTGCCTCCTGCAGGGCCCAAGTGAGGCCGGAAACCGGGCCCTAGAGCTGAGTGGCGTCATGGAGAGCGTGATCGCCCTGTGCGCCTCTGAGCAGGAGGAAGAGCAGCTGGTGGCCGTGGAAGCTCTGATCCACGCTGCCGGCAAGGCCAAGCGGGCCTCCTTCATCACTGCCAATGGTGTCTCGCTGCTCAAGGACCTGTACAAGCGTAGCGAAAAGGACAGCATCCGCATCCGCGCCCTGGTGGTAGGACAGGGCTGGGCTGGGCAGGGATGAGCCTCAGAGTGTGGCCCCACAGACACTTGGGGAATATTTGGGGTACCCAGGGCCTTGTTGTGTCCAGGGGCCTGGGGCATGGTGCTGTCTACCATGGGGCTTCCAGCCTAGTCAGATGTGCAGGGGGCATGGGCAGGTCCCAGCAGTGCAAGGCAGCACTTGGAGACATTGGGAGGAGCCTTGTAGGAGGTGACAAGGGTGCTGAGACAGCTGGGCCGGTAGGGGACATGCAGGTGTCTCCAGGAGCTGGTGGTTTGGGGACAGGCTGGGTGGCATTCCCTGGGTGCAGCGCAGGATGAGGCTGCTTTGGGGCCCTTTAGCACTGGATTTCTCCATCCCAGAGAATGATGACTTCCTTGCTGCAGCACTTGCCCTCGCCACACAAGCATTAGGTTCCATGTGCAAAGAGCTCTTTTGTAGCAACACAGAAAGGATTGGAACAAATTCCAGGTCAAGACCAGTGCTGGCTGGGAAAGGCTGGGGCCCAGAATAGTCCAATGGCCAGGGTAGTGGTCTCTACCAGCGTTCATGTCTCATAGCTAGCCCATCGGCTGATTTTGCTGCCCCATACTCAGTGTGGTATCCTGGTGGGACAGTGGGCAGAGTGCTAAGGAGGGAAGCCGCACCTGGGGGAGAAGCCCCATCTCTGTCCCCAGGCCAGTCAGCTGGTTCTCCCCTCTTCCTTCAGGGACTGTGCAAGCTCGGATCGGCAGGTGGGACGGACTTCAGCATGAAGCAGTTTGCTGAAGGCTCCACTCTCAAACTGGCCAAGCAGTGTCGGAAGTGAGTTGTTTGACATTGTGGGGTCAGCAGCCCCTAAGAGAGGAGGATCTGGGTGGAGGGCGCCTCCCATGATTCCTCTCTGCCCCAGGCAGAAGTTGCTCCCCCCACCCGAGGCCTACCGTTCATATGTTGAGGAGATGCCCAAACCTCCGGCCTTGCCCTCTTGGTCCTGGTATGCCTCTTCTCACCCCGGTTCTGACAGTTGTCCTTTACCCCCAGGTGGCTATGCAATGACCAGATCGATGCGGGCACTCGGCGCTGGGCCGTGGAGGGCTTGGCTTACCTTACCTTCGATGCTGACGTGAAGGAAGAGTTTGTGGAGGATGAGGCGGCACTGAAGGCTCTGTTCCAGCTCAGCAGGGTAGCTCTGGGGGGCTTTGGGATCACCCTGGGGTACTGTCTGGGTGGGATTTGGTAGGAGAAAGATGTGGCAGTCAATACCCATGAGATTGAAGCCCGGAAACCCAAGGGGCAGTTCTCTGTCTTTCAACGTTAACTATTGGTTGGCATTGACTCCCTGGCAGTTGGTTATGGGTTTAGGGTTTTTTAAGCAGGTCTTAGCCAATGACTTTTGTAACTTTTTTCTAGAAATCCCAGGAGGGTGGGTGGTTAGCTCAGTGGCCACTCCATGTGGCATGGGACCCGGCAGTGTCAGAAACCACCATTTCTGGGGAAGAATTGGGAAGGTCAAGTTTGAGAACCCTAAAGTCCTGCTGCCGTACTGATCCCACCCCCCCCGGAGGTATAGGATTGGGTAGCTGGCCCCTGGTACTATTTGCCCCAGTGCTACAGGGTCCTCGGACCTTGGGTGGCCAAGTGAAAGCCCTTCCACTCCTGTAGTCTGAGGAGAGGTCAGTGCTCTTTGCGGTGGCCTCGGCACTGGTGAACTGCACTAACAGCTATGACTATGAGGAGCCTGACCCCAAGATGGTGGAGTTGGCCAAGTACGCCAAGCAGCACGTGCCTGAGCAGCACCCCAAGGTAAGGGGCCAGGGGCCTTCCCAACATGGGGACCACCCGCAGCAGGGGAGCCCCTCATTTGTTTCCCTTTGGGCTGTTTTCCACGTCATGGACTTGTGCTGTGAGGAAAATGGCCTGTCTACTCAGCCGAGGCCCCTCTGATAAACTGCCTCCCCTAGGACAAAGCGAGCTTTGTGCAGGCTCGGGTGAAGAAGCTGCTGGCTTCGGGGGTGGTGTCAGCCATGACGTGCATGGTGAAGACCGAGAGCCCCGTGCTGACGAATTCCTGCCGGGAGCTGCTCTCCAGGTGAGCCTCCTGGGGTGGAGCAGGCCCTTCCCCACTCCTAGGCTGTGGGTGGGCTTCCATGTGACTGCGGGGGGTTGTGAGGGAGGTCCCGGTACAGGTGCTTGTTGGAACAGGGAGGCCTACCTGCAAGGCTGCTTCGCCCTGCTGAGCAGAAGCAGTGTCTACCTGCAGGCCCACCACTGCTGTCTTTCCTCAGGGTCTTCCTAGCTTTGGTGGAAGAGGTGGCAGACCGGGGCACTGTGGTTGCTCAGGGAGGGGGCAAGGTAAGCAGGATTGGAACCACTTCCTGAAGACAGAACCATTAACCTATAGACCATGACTCAGCGCTGCCGTGGATGTGTGCTGTGGGGTGCAATTGGGTTATTAACTCCGGGCAGGAGTGAGGGGTGCCAAACTGGGCTGGCTCCTGAGTCCCTTGCCCTTTGCGCCTATTAAGACCCTGAGTTCTCCCTTGCCCCGTCCTCCACAACTACAGGGTCCGTGTCCAGCCCCCGCTGGGTGTTTGAGGAAGTGTTTGGGGTGCCCGTTGGGAGCTCAGAGAGATGAAGATGGTCTGAGGAGGGAGTGAGGGGGGAGTCTGGTCAAGCCTGGGAGGAAGAAGGGTGAGGCAGCACAGTTGGTACCTCAGGGCCTGATAGGATTGGCCTCCCTGCACCCTGACCACTTGCTCCTATAGGCTTTGCTCCCACTGGCCCTAGAAGGCACGGACGTGGGGCAGATAAAGGCAGCCCAGGCTCTTGCCAAACTCACCATCACCTCCAACCCAGAAATGACCTTTCCTGGAGAGCGGGTATGTCTTCCTGTCCCAGGCTGGCCTTCCCTCCCCCTGCCTGGGCCCTGGTGTGTCCTTGAGGAGTGGCAGCCTGACTGAGCCCCAGTGGGGAGGGAAGCACACTTGGGGTCAGGGCCTCCCCGTGGGGTCTGTGGCAGTTGGGACGAGCAGCTCTTACAGGAGGGTGCATGTTGCAGATCTATGAGGTGGTGCGGCCCCTGGTCTCCCTGCTGCACCTCAACTGCTCCGGCCTGCAGAACTTCGAGGCGCTCATGGCCCTGACGAACCTGGCGGGGATCAACGAGAGGCTTCGGTGAGCGCCCTTGGGATGTGGGGCCTGAGCAGGGCATCAACATTTGTGTTGTCCTATCTCAGTTATGGGCTCATTGGAGCCTCCCAGTGAGTGCAGGCTAAGAGAGGCACAGACCTCGGGGACAAAGTATGGGTTCTGGAGTTGGACAGTCGGGGTTCCTATGCTGCCTTCTTTGGTTACCTCAAGCAAACATACTTAACCCCTCTATGCCTGAGCTTCCCCCTCTGTGAAATGGGGATGATTATAGTATTACTGGTAAGAAGTGACATATATATGTCATACTTAGGTGCCTGGCGTCTAGCAGTGTGCCATTATGCCTCCTTAGCTGGTATTCCCGATCGTGACTGCAGGTACATTACTGACCACTCAGTCTCTTCTGCAGAATAGTTATGATGTCGCACCTGCACCTGCATCAGAGCGGTGTGATTACGGATTAAGTAAAGCAAGTGCATCACTCTCCCCACCACCCAGGCCTCCTAACCCCAAATTCAGAACATTTTTCATGGTCCCATGAGCTCTCCTAAGCCAGTTTCCACCCACTGCCACTGAGTCCAGTCCAACTCATAGTGACCCTATGTGGGTTTCTGAGACTGTCAATTTGTATGGGAGCAAACAGCATCTTTCTCCGAAGGAGTGGCTAGTGGGTTTGAACTGCTAACTTTGAGGTTAGCAATCCAATGCCTAACTCACAGCACCACCAGGCCTCTTTGAAGCCTGGTTAGAAGGCTGGGAACCCCTTCAGGGAGGACAAGAGAGATCCCTGGCCCAGGAATCATTTGTTTAGGGATGTGGGTTGGGGACACAGTGGGCGTGGAGGCTCTGCAGATGCTTACACATACAACCCATCCCCCACCCGCCCCCCGGAACCCTGGCCCTGCAGACAGAAGATCCTGAAGGAGAAGGCTGTGCCCATGATCGAGGGTTACATGTTTGAGGAACATGAGATGATTCGCCGGGCAGCCACAGAGTGTATGTGTAACTTGGCCATGTGCAAGGAGGTGAGACGGCTGGCCAGGGTGGGCGTGGCAGGCCAGATGCACAGGTGCCCCTGTCTGATGTGGTCCACCCTTCCCTCTGGCCACAGGTGCAGGACCTGTTTGTAGCTGAGGGCAATGACCGGCTGAAGCTGCTGGTGCTGTACAGCGGAGAAGATGATGAGCTACTGCAGCGGGCGGCCGCCGGGGGCCTGGCCATGCTCACCTCCCTGCGGCCCTCGCTCTGTAGCCGCATCCCACAAGTGGTCAGTGCCTCTCCTGTGGTGGGGAGGGCTAGGCTGGGCACTCCAGCATGGTGGCGCTGCCTGGCGACTATACCCTGCCCTGTGTCCTGCAGACCACACACTGGCTGGAGATTCTACAGGCTCTACTCCTGAGCAGCAACCCGGAACTGCAGCACCGAGGCGCCGCAGTAGTGCTAAACATGATGGAGGCTTCCAAGGAGATGGCCAGCACCCTGATGGAGAGTGAGGTTCTGGAGATCCTGTCAGTGCTGGCTAAAGGCCAGGAGGGCCCTGTCATGAGGGCCGCTGCAGCATGCCTGGAGAAAGCCGTGGAATACGGGCTTATCAAACCCAACCAGGAAGGGGACTGAGGGCTTGCTCCTGGGTCCAAGGCTCAGACACACCGCACATGCACACCTCACTGCGCAGTACCAGGAGCGGAAGACGGAAGCAGCTTCGGGTGGTGGGGGATACCGGGCTGCTGGACACTCTTGCCTCTCTCCCAGCTGTGGATAGCTGTCCTCTGCTCTTGAGTCAGGAGCCACATTCTGTCACACAGCCCTGCTCTGCAGCGCTGCCTCCAGCCTCACCCAGTGGGGCCCTGTCCTACACTACTGTAGCTGGCTAGGAGGAGAGTAGGCACATCCTCAGCCTGTGGGTTCTTGTGCCTTGGGCGAGGTCCATCAGCTGAAAGCATCCTCTAGGCCTGCTAGCAGACCTGCTCTGACCCTCTTAATAAAAGTGTGTGAAACTGAAATGTGTGCTCTGCCCTTGAATGGGGAGCTCTGGCTGTGGGCTGGCACAGTGGCGAGCAAGTTTCACCTCTGCAGCTGCCCAGAGGGAAAGAATGCAATGGATTACCCACCCTGGGGCGCTTTTAATCCTGTTGGAGAAGGAAGGGGTACACCCCCAGAAGCTAGTGAGTAAAACTATCCAGCGGAGTAGAAACGAAAGCTTTAGAGTACGAACACCCCCTCCCTGTCTGCTGTTCCGTCAACACAACACTTGACTTTGTGAATGAATTGAGCTCCGTGACCTTCACTTAGGCCGTGCTCTGGATTTCGTCCCCATGTGGTCCCTGGGTATTTTCTTCCCTCACTTGAGAAACACGCTCTAGAGTAACTGAACCGTTCTGGAAGAAAGCAGGGATTCTGCGGGGGAACGTCCTCTCAAGAGGTTAATCCCCACAGCCAGTTTCGGGTATTAGCTTTCAACCTAGCTAGAAGCTCATTGGCTCGCTAAAAATAAGTGACAGGTCCTGAGCCAATGGAAGATAAAAACGAGAAGATAAGATCTGCTTCCGGTTTGATCATCAGACCAGCTCGCAGCCTGTAGAGTCTCAAGCTAGGGGAAATGGGCGCTCTTCGGCAAGCCTTTAGCGCGTGTCTTTGTAAATTCTAATCCAAATTGTAATGTCAGTTGAAACGAGAACCGTGATCCCACGAGTGTCTGCAGGGGCGGAGTATCACCACAGACCACGCCCACCAAGTGTTTCTACCCCAGCCGCCGAAGCCCAGGGCCGGCCCCGGAACCCTAAGGATTGAGCAGGTGACCGGAAGCACGGAGGGGAGCATTGTCCTGAGGCCGCCACGCCCCCGAGCGGTTGACGGCACCGTCCTCTACGGCGATTGGCTCGAGAGAGGTTGCTGCAGCCAATGGGCCACCTCGCCCAGGGCGCGCCCCTTCAAACTTTTTCTCTCTTCCTTATTGGTGTCGGCCAGAGTGCTGAGGTGGCCGGCAGGTCAGTCTTCAACCGTGTGTTTCCACAAGACTACCCACCGGAAGGGCCCACCTGAGGTGGAGGGCACAGGGTCAGGATCAAGGTCAGAGGCTCCATTGGTTTGGGAGTGGACACGGAAGGGATTATGAGCCCAGGTTGTGGTCAAGGACCCATAGTCGCAGGAGATAAACAGAATCTGGTGCATCAGAAACTTGAAAATGCCTATGAAATTCCCATCAAGCCGAAAATGGTGGTCGGAGAAAGTGGTGTTTCTGTTATAACCACCATATTGTATGTCTCCCCATCTAAGAGTGAGCGCCGTGGAAGTAGACTTTTGTTTTTACCAGGCAGGAGTAAAGGCTTGTTAGAAGAATAAATGACAGAATAAGGTCCTGTTGAAGTTTATGTCCATATAAACCAGTTACTCTCCAGTCAATTCCAACTCATGATGCCCCGGTATGTGTCAGAGTAAATCTATCCTTCCTAGGGTTTTCAGTAGCTGATTTTTCAAAAGTAGATCGCCAGGCTTTTCTTCTGAGGTGCCTCTGGGTGTGCTTGAACCTCGAACATTTCGATTAGCAGCCAAGTGTGGAGTCCTGGCATGGCACTATAGGATAAGCACTGGACTGCCAACTACAAGGTCAGCGGTTCAAACCCACCAGCAGCTCCAGGGTTGCTGTGGGTCAGAACTGACTCCATGGCACTTAATAGCAACAATAATAACTGTTAACTGAAAACTAATAAGTACCAATGGTCATCATAACAAATCTAAGTACTGAATTATAATAAACTAATATTTATTGCATGTTTTTCATGATTTTGGCCTGCACTGAACACATAATGTGCAGTTAGACCTCGCAACTGTAGAAGGTAGATACAATCAACCCTCCCTTTTTAAAACAAGAAACTGAATGGGATTCAGAGAGATTAAATGGTAGGACATTAAGCCACTGTTAGCTTCAGAGGCAAAGTGAACTCAGAAACTTGTTTAGTAACTTGTACAGGTTGTTGTTGTTCGGTGCCACGGAGTCGATTCCAACTCATAGCAACCCTCGAGCTGCTGGTGGGCTTGAACCACCGACCTTGCAGTTAGCAGACCAGTGCTTATCCTATAGCACCACACCAGGAAGCCACCTGTGCAGATACTGGCTCCCAAACTTGAGTGCTTTCCACCGTCTAGTGGGAAGAGTCAGCCGGACTAGTTCAGCCCTCTACCTGTCTCAGTCTGAGTATGTGGTTGTGTGGAGGTTAATTTCTTTGGGAATCTCCGTTTCCTCCTTTGTAAAATAACCTTTGTAGTTAGTTCTCACGATTTCATGAACTATGCCAGACATAAGGAAGCAGCAGCTGGACTGGGACCTCAGCCCCTAGTGCGCCACCTAAAGGAGAGGCTACTTAAAATTTTTCTGTCCACTTTGTGGTCTGCTGAATTTGAGCCTAAAGGGATTACAGGGCATGCCACCAGACGCTGCCAGACGCTGACTCTTCTTCCTAAATCTGATAGGACCTCGGGTGGTGGTAGTTATGTGCCATGGAGTCGGTTTTGACTCATAGTAACCCTGTATAGTATTTCTGAGGCTGTAAATCTTTACGGAAAGCTTCATCTCTCCCACGGAACCGCGGGTAGTTTCGAATGGCTTACCTTGAGGTTAGCAGCCACTATGTTATCAGAGCTCCTTTTCAGGGAAGGCTGGTGCTGGTGGTGGTGGTGGTAGTGTGCCGTGGAGTTAGTTCCAACTCATAGCGACCTTGTGTAGAGTTTCCAAGTCTGTAAATCTTTACAGGAGCAGAAAGCTTCGATTAGCCTTATTCATATCAGGGAAGGCTAGAGCCCAGCAAATGTTTGTGAAGTGGGTATTGTCTGCCCTTGTTGCTTGGAGAGGTCCCTGGTGGTACCAACGGTTTGCTCGCAACCACAAACTGCAAGGTTGGTGGTTCAAACTCACCCAGCAGCTGTAGAAGAAAGACGCAGCTATCAGTTTCAGTAAAGATTACAGCTAAGAGAATCTAATGAAGCCCAGTTCTATTCTGTACCACATGGGGTCGCCAGGAGTTGGAAACAGGCAAAGGGGTTGGTTTTCATTTGCTGGTTAGGAGGTAGGTCTTTTTCTTTTTCTTTTTAACTTTTAATTGTGAATTGAGTGAAGGCTTATAGAACAGATCTTCAGTTTTACATCCAACAAATCACATACTTCGTTTCATCTCAATGATTGCCTTCTTCTCAGTGTACTGTCACGGATCCCACTTCCTACCTGTAGTGCTTGGCGTTGCGTTCCTCCTTTTTCAGCCCTTCTGAATTTAATCTTGGGTTTACCTATCTAGTGCTTGATTGAAAATTGAGCCATGGCAATGAATTCAGTTCCAGGCGAATGGCTCATAGTCTTGGCATTCCACCGGTCTCTGTCTAACCAGAAAGGCTGTTCTTTTTTTTAAATGATTTTGAGTTTTGCTCCACATTTTTTCTCACTTTATTTCAGAACCTTTTAACGTGATCCCTTTTAGAGCAGTGGGCAGTGGTCTCAGGGTCATGGAGACCGATCCACTAGTCCAGTGAACTGATTCCAAGTGTCTTCACTTTTCATCTTCAAATTTCCTCTGAACAGGTAAAGAACAATCGTTGCACCTTAGCTGGCCACTCTTGAGCTTCTAAGATCCCAGTGGCTCCTCACCAAAGTAGGATGTAGACCATTGTGTTTGTGGACTGTTTGCCACTTGTCGCCACCCCCTGTCACCCCACCCCACCCCTAGACTGCAGTCCTGAGCCCCAAGGCCCAGGAGCTCATTCCCTCAGGTGTTTGGTAATGTCAGAAGTTTTTCATAACTTTGCCCCACCCCCATGCGCCACACACTCATTGATATGTTTGTACCACAGGTAAATACCTATGTACAAATAACCTGTCAGACCTTTATTATCTGTGGGCATATGCCTACTCTCCCTGGCGCCTTTAGCCTGTGTTTCTATCTACCTGTGTTCAGTCTATCTGTATGTCACTGTTATTGCAGGATTGTGGTTATAAAGGAGACTGGTATTTTCCCACACACACAGACAAGGCAGCTGCAACCCCAGTAAGACCAGGGTCTTGCCAGTGCCGCACAACAGGACTTGTCATCAAGAAGCCCCTAGATTCCAGCCTAGCAACTGTAGAAGGCGCACCCCAGCCAGGAGGCGGCCAGCAGAGGGCGCTGCCGGAGCATGGCCGACGAGCGGTCGGGAGCCTGGTTCGGCTTTGGCTTCTGCGGCTTCGGGCAGGTTCTGGGCTCTGGGCGCGGGTACCATGTACACAGCCCCGAGCCGTTGGAGGTGGACGCCCGCCACGTGAGTGCCAGCTGGAGCTACACGGCTGTAGTGACCCGTAAGCTTCTGTCCTGTTCCTCTTCCCCCTTCCGCTCGCGCTCTCCCATCCTGCCTAGACCTCCCATTCTGGTTTGTCCCTACCCAACCTGCTCTCCCCGCGGCGGCAGGTGGAGGCAGCACCGAGCTGTCGGGCTTGGTGCGTGGCTCGGTTGGCGGCTGCAGGGACGTGTGGGCCTCGGAGGCGCTCGTCGTGGTGCTGCGCTCGGGGTCCGGGTCCGGGACGGAACTGCAGGGCTGGTCACCCGGCTCCGCACTGCGCGAGGAGCCGCTCTGGACTCAGACCCTGGACCCGGAGGCTGTCGGGGAACTCGGGGTGCTGCCCCTGCTGCCTGGTGCCTGCGCCTACGTGAGCCCTCAAGCGCCCTTCTACCGGCCGCTGGCCCCTGAGCTGCGGGCCCGCCGGCTGGAGCTGGGTGCTGAGCATGCGTTACTGCTGGGTGCTGTTGGCCACGTGTTCTCCTGGGGCGGTGGCAGGTGAGTGGGAGTTTGGTGGAGGTGACCCGGAGAAGAAAGGGGGGTGTTCTGTAGTTAATGTGACTGTAGTTGACTGAGGTCCCCGTGTACAGGCATGGACAGCTGGGCCATGGGACCCTAGAGGCAGAACGGGAGCCCAGGCTGCTGGAGGCGCTGCAGGGCCTGCCCATGGCCGAGGTGGCGGCGGGCGGTTGGCATTCTGTGTGTGTGAGTGGTGAGTAACCCGGGGCTTCAGCAAGCAAGCTCAATCCCGGTTCGCCTCAGACCTTCCTTCTGCGCTTCAGTGTTGGTAGGTGGCTGAGCCAAGCCAGGCCCCACATCCATTATCAGCTCAGCCATTTATGACTCCAAAATGTCTCTTGGGAGGCCTGGTGGCTCAGAGGTTAAGTGCACAGCTGCAAATGGAAAGGTCTACCATGTGTCCCACCAGCCACTCCATGGGAGGAAGATGCTTCCATCAAGATTATAACCTCAGAAGCCCTACCGGGGCGAGGGGGCAGTTCTGCTCCCCCATGTAGGGTCTCTGGGCGTCCCAGTCAACATGATGGCAAACAGTTTGGGTTTGGGGTTAGGTAGGTTGGTAGGTTTTTCCTTTTTCAAAGATTTTTATTGTGAACTGAGTGAAGGTTTACAGAGCACATCTCAGCTTTACATTAAAAAATCTTAACTGCAACAGGTTTAAGTGTCTCAGGAGCCCCTGCGTGACACAAGTAGTTAAATGCTTGGCCACTAACTGAAAAGTTGGTGATTCCAATCTGCCCAGAGGCGCTTCAGAAGAAAGGTCTGGCATTGTCCTTCTGAAAGGTCACAGCCATTGACGACCCTATGGAGTGTAGTTCTCCCCAGACACTCGTGGGGCTGCATGCGGGTGGTCCGAATCCTCAGGAACCAGTTATGTGCGTCTCACATTCACGCCCTCTGCCATGGCCAGCACCCACCCACGCCTACCTGGACTGTTGGGGTCATCTGCCTTCTGCCTGCTACCGGTCTCTCTAGCCCACCTGTCTGTCTGCCACCAGCCAGAGCTCTGTCTCTCTTTTTAAAAAAAACTTTTTATTGGAATTGATCAGTTTTACAGACCAAATCATCAGTTTTCTAGTCAACAAATCACACCCTTTGTTTCATCTCAATCAGTAATTACGTGGAGGCCTGCAACACGATACCCCGTTTCCTCCCTGATTCCTATTTTCATTTCCAAATTCTGTAACTAGATTTTTCTCTCTTTTTGCTTTATAGCTGTCTTCATTACAGATTGGTATCTCTGAGTCCCTATTTTCAGTCTTGTAGTAGTGTTTTAAGGAGCTCTCGTAGTGTAGTGGTTACGAATCGGGCTGCTAACCTCAAGGTCAACAGTTCGAAACTACCAGCTGTTCC